ATTTATGGCGGTAAAAGAAGCTCCCCTAGTCCGGACAATCTTCGTTTAAGGTTAGATTTACTGGGCAATAGCGTAGCTAGTGGCTTAAATCTTTAGGAAGCCAACCTAATGCAAATTATTATCGTTATCCTATTAGGCACAGAGGGGTAGGCAAGATAAATCTAGGTCAAACCCCCAAAAGTTATTCTTTTTGGTTGTTTCTTCTATACAGAGGATAAATCTTTGGTCACCTATGTATATTGCAGAACATATTTGCTTTAGACGGTGAAAATCAGGCCCTATAATATTAGAATACAAACAATCAGTCTTACAGAAAGCACTGTTTAACTAATTAGCGAAACAGCTTAATTACTTACCTTTTGAGTCTGATTCCAGCACTCGTTTGTCATTATTATCTGATAATAACAGTAGACTATCGAACCCCTAAAGATAATTTAACATTATATATAGAAATTAAAACTAACATACCACTTTTGTTAGAGGATTTTTACATTATAAGGAGGGAAGAGAATTGTGGTTTAGACAAACATATTTATTTATATATTTTGTTATATATTAAGTATATATACAACCAGCATACAGACTAACGACCATATATATAAAAAGAATATATTCTATTAGGTAGTATAAATATCCTCTAATCAGAACCCGGATTAACTGAAATCCCTTGCTGTATTATTCTCAAGGACTCTGCTACTCGTACGGACAGAATTAAGAGCCGATAGCATCGTTGCCTTGTCTATAGTTATATAATACGAGGTAGGAATATATATAGTTGTTCTGTTGTTATCTAATAACAAAGGGTACGTAAGAGGTTAATAAAAATAGACCTTAGTTTAGTAAGAGTAAGGAAAATCAACAAGCAGAATGTTATTATTGAATAGCTTTAGCCAGGAATATATAAGAATTCATATTTATTTTATCCTAAGACGTATATACTCTTTATTTCTCGGTCTGTACCTAAAACCATAGGCTACGTATAAAGTTTTAGTACTGTATTATATCGCAGAAGTAATTATAACAATAAAACTAACTAACTTTGTAGTAAGTTTGTTGCATTATCTAATATATATTTATCGGAACCTTTTATCCTACCCTTTTTAACCCCTCGTTTACATCTACCTTTATACCAAGCTATCGATATAAAATATCAGCAACCTACTTTAGACCTATTCGACCTCGTATACTAAGTACTACAGCTTCTGTAGTTAACAAATTAGAAAACAACTCACTGAACAACGTCTCTATAAAGAGACGATCAACCGCTTACAATAAATATCAGCATCAACAAACAAAGGTAAGGAATCTTAAAATTATTACCTTATTTAGCTGCTTAATATTTAACATATTGAAAGTAGTACATTTCTAGAATCCTATATTTAGAGTACACAAAACACAACTCTCATTATATTGTTAAAGAGAGTTCTAACAAGCAATACAAGAGTTATAAAAGAAAGATAGAAGAAGAACTAAAATATTACCGAGGTTTTTTAGATAACCTATTAGAGGTAATACAGTATTCAAGTAATAATAAAGTCAATTATATCTTTAATATAATACAGTCTGAATTATCAATAAGCGAAATACAGTTTATAGTAAAAGAAGTTCTTTCAGAGGGTAAATCTTCTCGTTCTGCAGCGTAATATATATGTTGCAAGATTAACAGGCCTGGTTAGACTGAAGTTACAATCTCTAATTATAACGCTTAAATACGTATAACTTTCTATAAGCTTTTTACGGCTAAGCTAAGTATAGCTTTATACAGTTTTCGGTTACAGGCTGAGAAAGAAAGAGTATATACCCGGGGTTAAACTGTTTTCAAATTATACTATATGGTTCACAGCCAGCTCGAAGTCGATTAGGGTAACTTTCTGGGATATTAAGACCAAAATAACGGAAGGGGCGAAGGGATAAGAAAACGTCCTTAGAGGACTCCATAATAGCAATAAAGTACGGAGTATTGCAATAAATAAAGGGCGATAAGCAGATGATGAAGCAATCAAAGCAGCGCAACCTGCATAAATATGCACAAATAACCCTACAACCCTAAGCCAAGACCATCTAATCCAAAAACAGCATAATAAGGCAGGTACCCGGAGCTGCAAAAGCGAATGAAAAGCGTGCGTGGCAGAACAATCCATATATAGTTAAGCCATTTCTTTTTGCAACGTCTCGCGCACAAGTACTGGAAGACGCGCGCTGGGGCACGCTGTAAGCCCTGAAACGATGTGGCATTAGTGGAAATTAGTATGTAGAGGGCGGCAATAAAAGCCAGAAGCTTCTGAGGCAAAGAGGCTTTACCGGACAGTTCAGGCCCAGGCCGCAAGTGTCTTCGCTTCTAGAGCACGCAATCTATCCATTTCCATGATAAGGTCGGGGTCGGGGAAAAGCGGAGATCATCACGAGTAATCTTCTCGAGTAAATGTAGACCTTCAAAGGACCGCAGCCTAGAAAGCTGAACGTAAAGGGAGCAGTACTTCGGGTGAGAATCTTGTCCTCGTCGAGCTGTGCCATTCTTTAGGTCTAGGACCGTACCCTCGCGGACGGAGAAGCCCTTTGTTTCACTTCGTTCGTTTCAGGGTATGCTTTAGATAAGCAAACTCTGCTGATTTCTCGTGGTTTGACAGTGCAAAATGTTTTTAGAGAACACAGGAAATAGCTTCATGGAAGGGCATCTGTAACAAGAGTGATATCTCAAGTAACTGTAGATTATCTCACCCATCCGCGATACGCCATCTTGGGAAATATCTTTGAAGTTAGGGAAGCTCTTCTCCAGGACCGATAACAATATCTTCTCATTCTATCCGGTCGTAGTATCCTCTCATACCAGACTCCCGGTCTCATTCGTAGCTACTCCTTCCATAACCTCAAACATCGCGGGTATTAAACCCTCTGCTGGAACCCTTGGGGTGCTAACTAGCCTACACTCATGTTAGCAGCACTCTATACTAGGTTATTTGATGAGGAGCTGGTGTGTATGACATAGCCTACCTTGACAACAATAAGCTTTCTGCCGTTGAGTCTATCATACTTGTCAACAGACTATGACCACAGAACCAGGTAAAGATTGCCACTGACTCATTTCCGTGGCATCTCTCAATTGCGATTTATGCACTCTCCTGGTTGTAGAACGTAACGAAGCCATATCCTCGGCTACTGCCCGTCTTGTGGTCTGTGACGATATGCTATAGTTTAGGTTGATTCAGTTAGCTGGCCAGAGAACACTGCGTTAAAGTTGTGGTAGCACTTACAACGTCTTCAATATTTTCAATTATTCCGTAATATTCGAAGTGTCTCCTTAAGTTCTCGGTATTCATCCCATAAGGAAGGTTCCTTACTCGATGTCAGAATATTTGTAGAAAGAAGTTAAGACTGAAGCCGAACCCCACATAAACCCTGATCATATCACCCATATCGCGTTCCGTGGAAAAGTATGCGAGAAATAAGACTAGTATTCGAAGTGCCTTGGCGGTATGTAGTGTCTCAGGATCCTTATAATACCAACGAAGGCAAGAGAAAGTCTGAGACCACAAGATTTTCTCACCGAGTAAGTTGAAATATTTACTGAGACGGGTGACCTGGCGGCGCGGGGTAATAATCATTACACGTGATTAGACTACGATGTTTCTGCCCATAAATCGAGCGGTAACCCCAAACAGTATCAGCGTATTTCGGATATAATTTCTGAGTAATCAACTGTAGAGTGTTTGAAGCGAATTTTAATTTGGAAGCTACAGTATACATCGCCATAAAACCGGCATAGCAAGCGCCATGAAAGTAATTTATGAATAGATGACCAGCTTATGGGCGGTTAAAACCTTATTCTTGCAAGCAATGGTCAAATCGCTGTAATCCGAGCTGAGATGCAGATCTCTCTAAGTTAGTTATCAGACAGTATCTTGTACTACTATAGACCGTACGTGGTCTGCTTCTCACCTTGCAATGAGTCCAAGAATGGTATCTTGGTCGTGCCTGGTCTCTGCTCCGGCGGTGAAGGACTGGGCCGGCAAGGGTACAGTCTCCATATTGGAGCTTGATTAAGCAGGAAGGCTTGCTCCTTTTCAATTTCATGGCTAGGCGCAGATTATTCCGTGTGAATTCATTACAAGGAAGCAGAGTGTAATCTCTACTGTGAGGTCAGAGGACATGAAAAGTAGAAGTCGGGTTTGCTCCACGCTCAGAGGGTTTCACGCATTGCGGCCTAACCCCACATCCTATCTATCAAATCGGCCTCGACAAGGCAAGTCGGTGGCAGACCAATGAGAATAAGTCTTCAAAAAGGTGCATAGCAAAAGTATGCAAGCAATGAATGCGAGGGTATAACAAATGAGCAGCAAGAAAGAAGCACAGACGCCAGGGTTAAGAAGTCAGCTGTTAGGGTTATGGAGGAAAGAGCCAGTAAACAAGGATAAAAACCGCCAACACTAAACCAAGATGATGAATTCCTGAACAGCTATCAGAAGAGGGCGTGGAATCAAAAGGTAGCGAATCAGAGGAAGGCAGTGGATCAGAGTAGCGAATAAGAAGCCATAATTTGGCTAACAGCAGCGAAAAAAATAAAAGTTTTCAGCAACAGGGGTATCCCCGCCGGCGGAGAATCCCTTTCTCTCACTTCGTTCGTTTCAGGGCACGTCCCGTGTTTAAGTCCCTTTCTCTCACTTCGTCCGTTTCAGGGCAATGTCACATGATAAGAACTTACGGGCAATAATGATACGAATGGTCAGCTATATGTTGACGCCCCCCTCCAATATAATATCGACAGCATTCCTTCTCACAGGTGGTGACTGCTGCTTTATGGTGCCAGGAGATACAAAGTCGAGGCAACATTTATTGACGAAAGCATATCATTTATCGTCCGACCCAATCATTAGCCAACATTGCCAACTTTAGCCTATTTGGCAACATGCACTTCCACAGACTAATGCAAGGGAGGCATTCCACGCCACGAACTTCAAGCTCCAAAATATCAATTTGGCGTAATCCGTGTCTTTCACTCAGTATCAGTCAATCCAGTCGGAGTTGGGGTCCAGTTGTGTAGATCTAACATCGGGACATGACCCGTTCGATGTCACGTCGCCGGAATTCGAGACTCGGTAGGAGCTATTCGACGGCCGCGGGTAGTTGAACGAATCAAAGACTCCAAATGCTTGGAGCTCGTTAGTTAGAAGCGTCTTGACAAAGCAGCGCTGTGAGAAGGTGTATCGCTGCCCAGCCTTGATTATGTGCAGTCGGAAAGCAACCCTATCTGCGTATCAGCGGGCTCTACGACTGACTAACTGGTCTTGTGAGTTTGCAGGACCTACCTGCGGAGGTCCTCGAGTGACTTAGAGTTGTCCCCCGTGTGCGTATGCGGCAGCATGCATACAAGCCTGCTTGAGAAGACTTTTGCCACCGGCCAGTGTCTACCCAGCTTCTCTAGAGTGGAGATAAAAAAGTAGATGCTCGAATCGAGGTGATGCTCTGGCACGGAAGCATGGACGAGGAGCAGTCTAGCCGTGGCCCAGAGAGCACCGGCAAAGGAAGGCCCGAGCAGCTGAAGCATGCCAGCGGACACGACGTCCTGCGCCGTCCTCATCATGCTCGTAACGGCGGTTATGCATTTTTGCATGGCGCTGTGCGAAGCCTTGAACAGCTCGGAGGCCGTGTGCGGATATCCCGCTACGGAGTGAAGGCGGGTGGCGGCAAGGATGAAGCCGGATTGCAGTGTAATCCAGTTGGAAACCCTGCTCCGCGTGTCTGAGCGGCACGACTCTGATATCTGAGCGTACTCGCCCGGAAGGCTGTTCAGCCACGACGAGAGCTGCCGGTCCAACTCGGCGTACGAAGCCCTCCACCGGTCGGAATCTGACGAGGAATAGAAGTTGAGGGGCTGCTTGACAAACTCATGGATGCGTGTCATGATTTTGGTCACTTCGCAGAGGTACGAAAAGCTCCCCAGATTCTCTGGAACGTCTGCTGTCACCTCAAACGGCTTGTCCGTGCGGTACCAACGCGTCTCGACCTGCTCTGCGGCTACCCACAAGTCGTATCGACAAGGCAGCGGCCTGTTCACTTCGCGCTCGTCTATCATGAAGTTGGAAGACGTGCACGTGTTGGTGTATCGGTCGATGGAGTACACTGCCCAGAACAGCCTGCGCGTCTCTTCTTCTTGCAGCCAAGACGTCGGGTGGGAAATCATGAAGCCCTGAGTCAGCCCGGCGGGCGCATCTATGGAGAGTCCGAGGTCGAAGCGATTCTCGACGCCTGAGACCTAGGTGCGAGAAGTTCTGCGAGAGGAGAGCGAGGAGATTCATGCCCTCCACAGTATGGGCGTCACCTAGCAGTCCACGGTCAGGATCGCGAGTGCCTGCAGACCTCGTAGGTTTGAGTGCTCTAGGACGTACAGTTGTATGCGCTGCTTAGGGGACGCGTGATGCCCCCACCGTATTGTTTTCGGGTCCTTCCGATATCGCGAACCACTAAGAACGAGGGCGTGCAGCAGGATCAGGTCAGGCTCGCCCAACTGTAAGGGACTCCAAAGAAGTCCAAGGATGGATATCTGTTCCAGCAGAGGCAGCCAGGCGTTCACGTTTTCCAAAATATAGGTCGACGAGGGCACCTAGTTGGTGATGTGGCGGTAGCCCAGCAGTTTCCAAGAAGCTATCGTATTCATGAGACTCTGCTTTACCGTTCGCAGCCACGGCCCGCAGCCCTGGGAGTAGTCTCGATACGGCGGTAGTGTCGCGGTCTCGATTATTGGGAGTATTCGCGGGAGAGACGGCGAGTATGTCGTGTTCGTCTGGCTCAACTTGCTCGACTGCCTCAGCTGCTTGAACAGAGGTTCCCGCAGCGATAAGCGATTTTAGAGAATCATCATCGTAGCTGCCGGAAGGGAGCTTCTTCTGACCCAACGAGTGACTTTCGCTACGACCCGGCCGGTTTAAATGCTCTTGAAGCTGGCTGCTCAGAGAATTGAGCGACTTTTCCAGTTGCTCTACCTTGCCGAGTAGATCCCGTGCATAGCCCCTGCGAGGCCCCGGTTTTCGTTTGCCAGCATACACGCAGCTTTCATTATTATGTACGCACCATCCGTACGATGGCTTGGCCCTGTCGCATCTGACCTTTCGAGACCTACACTTGACGCAACTAACTGACCCAGCTTAGTGACTCTCCTTGGTGTGAGATCCTGCCGAGGCAAACTCACGATGTCATGGTACCGATGTGCTTTTTATCCCTCTCCTTTTTTGTGCGGCTATGATGGAGTGCGCTGCGATTCTGTTTGCTGGGAGGGTGGCTCGTCCGTTCCCCAGAGTCGCTTCAACTATTATGCCGAGGCAGAAATGGTCTGACTAATAAAGGGACGACCTATTCTTCGTTCATGTGAGCGCCACCAATAGCGTTGGCTGGAATCCTGGGGAACATCATCTAAGCCACATGAAGACTGAGACCAAAAAACCTCTCTGCTTGACAATTGGCTCCCAATCCCCTACCACTTCCTTCGCTGTATTAGATGCGCCGAACCGCGATTCATATCCGCACCGAGATACAGCCAGCAGTATTGCCTGGCTGCACCGCAGGGAACCCAGTAAAGAATTCGTTGGAGGGCCGAGGGGAGTGAGCGAGCCGAGTTTGGCGTACACCTTTGCCGCGCATGTGATTTATTAAACATGGCCCTGGAAAAGGAAGCAACAGCCAGTCTCAAATTAAACACAGCAAAAATACCAACTGCCTTCATTCGCTATACGTGACCAAGCTAAAGACCCGACCCCGCTATCCACAGCCCGTGTGGGTACATGTGAATATACGCATATATATATGAATGGGACCCTTCCGACAGCTGCTCACAATACATCCTCGTCAAAACTAGTTTATTGGGAGCCAATACCCTTCACATCCGAACCATGGCCTCCCCAGCGATTCAAACCGAGGCTGCCTCCTACGGACCTTCTGTTGCGCCCAAATGCTCCAAGAACCTGATCCCGAAAGACCTGTCCGGCTCTCCGATCCCCCACAGCCAGCGTTGGGTGTACTCGACATCAGCCATCACCAACGGCAAACTCAAATCCATCAGTGGCAGTGCCGTTCTCATTGTTGCATATGTGTGTTTCAACTCGTCGACGGTAGGCCACAGGTTCTACGGCCACCTGGACGACGCGTACGACGAGATCGCCGTTAACATCTGGGGCACCTTCGTCATCACCACAGTCTTCTTCTGGGCCTGGGCCGCCGTCTTCGCCATACCGGACCTGACCAGCTGGCCGCAGTGGCTGTTCAAGTACAAAACGCAGCCCTTCGTCCGGGTTGGCGGGCAGGAGTACGCCCGCATTGCGCTGATAGGGCTTCGAAACCAGTTCGTGGTCGTGCTGCCCTTGCTGTACCTCACCAGCGTGTTCGGCTCTTCCAAGCCAGTTGGGACATCCTCGCTTCCCTCGCCCACACAGGCCGTCGCAACCGCTCTGTTTGACGTCTTCTGCACGGAGATGGGCTTCTACTACATCCACCGCGCATTCCACTCGAAACTGCTGTACCCTCTTTTCCACAAGCAGCACCACGAGTTCACCGCACCCGTCGGGCTGGCGTCGACGTACTGTACCTTGACCGAGCACGTCTTTTCTAACTTGATGCCAAACGCCATCGGGAGCATGATCGTCCCGCACCACTGGTCTCAGTCTACCTTTAGTTTCCTGCTGTTGACATTCGGAACCATCTGCGCGCACTCCGGATACAACACGCCGTGGCTTCCCTCAAACCTGCAACACGATTTTCACCATTTCGCGTTCAACGAAAACTTCGGCCCGACGGGGCTGTTCGACTCGATACACAATACCAACAAGAAGTTCAAGCACACCCTGCAGGAGGCGAGGCTGCGGGTTGGTGGTGATGATGACAGAGCCAGGAAGCTGGTCCTGGAGAAATTGGCCGTGGTTGAGAGCAAGGAAAATGAGGCGAAGCGAAAGAATTGACCCACGATGGGGGTTGCGACATACGTTCAATTCAATTCAATTCAATTCAAGATTCTATTAACCTAATGCAGCCTTGCTAGTGAGCGCCGTGGCTATGTGGGCGTTCCCTCCATAGGGAACCAGAACCATCCTAACGCCACGCCCACAGTAAAAAAAGACAAAGGAGATACGGCGTATTGCTATAGAAAAACAAATAACAACTCCCACAAAACAGTAACGAAATGCTCCCAATGAATATAATCGGCTACTGCCAGCTTATACAGCGACTACGGCCCCTCCCTGTGACCGCAAACCACACTCTCCCTATCCCTGCCACTATAGATATAACCTCAGTTTCGCTCTGGTTCCTCCTGCAGTTGCTCCTTATAGGATAGTAGCTCCTCGGCCTACTCAACCTCTTATAGTCGCCAGTTAGTAGTATACTTCCTTATATATATCGTCTTTACCCTCTAGTGCCCTCCTACTCGGGATCTAGCGCTAAAAAAAGAACGATCGGCTATTATGAAGGATGGTTGGTTTTCTGCTTGCTTACGTTTATGTACGAAGAGCTCACACCTGATAGGGCCTCGCAGCGACCATGCGACATACGTTTTCCGACAGATATTGAAATGACCGCCATGACGCCTGTCAATTTTGGTGGGTCTGCTCTTAGACATGCCGCAGGCAATTGTTCTAACAACTGATCCAGCCTTCGTCTACTTTCACCCCACAACGTTTGAAGTTATTCCCAAAGACGCTCGTGACGTTCCTCTATATTCTCAGTTCACTGCGGTAAAGGAGAGAAAACAGTGCGTTCCCTTGTAATGAAGGACAGCATTCTCGAAACGTCAAATAACATTCTTTCCAGATCGCTGAGAACATGGGTATCTATAGGCGGTTGGGCGTTCAATGTCAGCATGATGGTTCTCTGGAAACGATTGACGAACACAGCTTATGATTGTTAGGATGCCACGAACTCTCTAAATACCCAGACAGCATTCAGCGATATGTCATCGAGTGCAGCAAATCGCCAAGCCTTTGCAACGTCTCTGATCCAGTTTATGAATACCTATGGATTTGATGGCGTTGATATTGACTGGGGGGTAATTCTTCCGTTCCCCAAGATATCTGGGCTCGGACTCGAAGATCTTCAGAAAACTGTATTGATAAATTTTTCTAGTACCATGGAGCCGACGATTGCGGTGGACTCCCAGCCGATACTGAGAATTTTGCTCTGCTGCTAAGTGATCTGAAAGAAGCATTTGGAGGAAGATTCTGTATCAGTGTCACATTGCCATCCTCATATTGGTATCTACGCTGGTTCGACCTTCAAGCCATGGAGAAGTCGGTTGATTTCTTCAATCTCATGTCTTATGACATCCATGGAGTGTGGGATTCATCTAGCAAGTTCACCGGCCCATATGTGCGTCCACACACCAACTTGACTGAAATCCGACTCGGTCTTGACTTGACTTGCTTTGACGAAACAACATTTCGCCCTCGCAACTCAACTTGGTCCTTTGCTGGTATGGTCGATCTTTCACACTCAAAGATTCATCGTGCAATATCCCTGGCTGTATCTTTAGCGAAGGCGGTACTGCCGGAGAGTGTACGAACTCTGCCGGGATACTGTCGAATGCAGAGATCAGCCGTATCATTGCCAGCAATTCCCTCACCCCCACGATCGATCAAGAAGCTGCTGTGAAATGGATCACATGGGATTCAAATCAATAGGTCTCATATGATAACGGCGAGACCATGAAAATGAAGCTTCAAGCTGCAAGTGAGCTGTACCTCGGTGGAACCATGATCTGGTTAATCGATAAAGATGGTACAGATAATGCAAGCAGTAATGACCTGTCGGGTATTAGGACTGCCAATGGTATATCGCAGTCTGATACAGCAATGCTACGTGAGTGGCAGACTACTGCGAGAACAGCGGCTACGATACAAAACTCCTGCTATTGTCTTTCTGTTGAGATGAATGTACCACTGGTTTTATTGCCGAGACTTACGCTAAGGGGCAGGTGTTAGGTGTCGAGACCGATATTAATTGCTAATGAGACGATGTCAAGATACTTTGCTGCGCTCCTAGGACTAACACTGGCACATGTCGCTGGAATGGATAGCGCGGTGCTGGTATGGTATGTGCCACCGGATACTGCCCTAATGGAACCGATCTCGTTGTAGTCAACAGTCAGTATCAGGAACCCCGAGTATATAGAGTTTGGAATTGCTTCTTACTTTCCTCTCTAACCATAGCCAACTCTTACGTCGACAATTCAATGATGGGTACTATTTCCAACTTGATGTGAAATAGTATGTTGGAAACTTCCCGATGACGATTAACACTTGTTTAGATTTTAACTCGTATATCATATTGCAGGCAGCTTACAGTCTTACTGTTGTTCTGGATTTGTTCTATATTCCTTTGCCAACACTGATTCGCTGAAGCTAGTCGGGCAAGGCAGCCTCGCGAAGCGCGACACCGGTCTAGTTCCATCGCTCTAAGCTAACAGCCATCTCGTTGGTGGCTACTCCCACAACGCTATATCTAAGCGTGGCTTGTCGCCGACTGAAGATCCGGGATGTGTCTTCGTGGGCTATTTCATGGGAACTGTCTTTGGTTCGTGTTTGGCATCTCCACCCGTACATGATAAGGCTCCTGCGGACCTATATTTTATTGTTATAGGGGCTGGTGTGGTTTACGCATTTGGTCGAATGGTTTACGACATATATGGAGACTCCTACAGCTCGGATGCGATGCAGGAGGTTTACAACATGTGTGTCAAACCAAATGTAGTCGTCGCACATGAAAAGGCCGCTGGTAACGCCGGTGTCGTGGCTAATGTAGCTTCTGCGGAGGCATTGTATGGCCAAGGTGCAGTTGGCCCCGGTATCACTGAGCTGAACTCTCTCAAAACTACCATCACAGGAGAGCCTGAGCAAGTACTGACCACTTTCGGCTCATATACTGTTCAGACGTACACGACGGAGATCGAGGAATGCCCTTTGACCTATACGTACCACTACGGGAGAGGTTTCAAGGAGGTGAGAAGTCTTCCCCTATCCATGAAAAGATCGTCTTTATGTCCGCAAGCTAGCTCTGGTAACTAACTTAGTTCAATTCTTGTCACTCACGATCTGTGACAACCAACGATATGCCATTGAGAAAAGCTTTATTGGGAAGAGTGTGTGGCATATAGATTCAGAGCGACCGGGTGGAAACTATAAGCATCGTTGGAATAGACAGAGGGGGGCCAAATGGTACAAGGACATCCGACATCTTGGTAGATGGCGATGGACTTGTGAACTGTGAGTGATTCCGTGCCTTATTGATTGTGTACCCGAGTCACTAATCTTCGTACTCAATCAGCGACGAGTTCCCGTTAGGTTCTCTCAGAGAGTCATTAGGCCAGGCCTATCAGATAATATGCTTTGTCAATGGATTAGCAAATGGCGCTCATGGTCTGTGCACAATCCATCCACCTGTTCAAACGAGAAACTCGACTCGACATTGCACCCTGTATTTGCTAATTTTTATAAGGCCAGGATTGGGATACTTGGGCGGGTGCCAATTATAGACTGTGTGCCTTCCAAATTTGTGAAGAGCGAATGGAACGAGAGTTCAGGAACGGATTCCCCGTCACTTGGGAGTTCTCTCCGTTCTCTGCCGGTGACAATCGTAGAAACGCCATATTGGAGGGGAACACTTCCTGCAATATTATAGGGTTAGTGAAACGCTTCAATTCAATAATTTATTCCGACGAAGACATTGCAAAGGGATCACTAAAATATTTCAGTTCGATTCGTAAGCGCGTGGCAGTGAATGTTGGGGTAAGTAACGACTCTATTCCCATTTTCTAACTCAGGCTTATCTCACATTCGCTCTCAATATCGTCTAGCCACATTCACATATCAAGGAACTTCCACTGTGTCTGACCAGGGATTCTGGGCAATGCAAGATGACCCGTAAGTACTCAAAAGGCTCTCATATCTAACTACGTGTGCTGAGAGTGACTGCACAAAATGTACGACCCTCCATACAATTGGCCGAGGTTCAACAATTACCAAGAACAGCATTCTCCAGAGAATCTCCCAACGGAAATCTTCTCGGCTCAGTAGTTGAAGCGTAAGATTGCACGCTCTGTCCTACAGCAAGATCTGCCTCTGTCAGCAATTTTCGAGGCTGAAAGTTGCAGTGGACAATCTGAAGAGATTCGACTCGCTGTCAGAACCGCCAGAGGTGAAACCAACTGATCCAGCAACATTCTCGACAACTTCGGTGGAGAGTTCAGGTCATGCTAGCCACCAAGCCTTGGATGCAGGCCTTCCGCAAGAAACGAGAAGTTCGCATGCCCGTACTCACTTACATGGCCACGGTCACCGGAAATGGCATTATTGATAAGCCAAGAAGTCATTGAATCAGGTTCATGGAGGACATTATTTGATGATCGAATGGATTTAAAAGTTGGTATGAGAGCAATCCCAGAGGGAAACCCGGGAATGTGTGAGGAGAGTGTACGTTGCATCAACCTGGACTGGAGATAGTTGACTAGCCCAGATGGAAGTCTTGGAAACACCGTGTTCGCGGATTAGATTCACACTATTACATGCAGATGGGAGTCCCTTGAGTCGGACCAGTGAATTAAGAGCGTTACTATGGCAAATCTGTGATTGAATAGGAGTGTGTATTGTTAAAGATAATATCACCAGGAGCACTCACAAAGGAATAACATATTCTCGCCAATGTTCTTTAGTATCAGCCTCTTTGAACTTCTCAATACCACCGACAACGCTATCTTCGATAACCAGCCAACCACCTGTTTCCACTCGTTCAGCCTAATTTTCTAACACTTTGTGCAGATATAAGCTACGTGAATCCCAAGGTAGATAACCACTATACCAACTAAACAAATCTGACCGATAGAGTCGATCAGACGTAGTACTTCTCCCCCTAGCTTGTTTGATGAATAGAAGGCCATTGCTACTTTGAGCAAACCCGCTGTAGCCGGTCTTAAACAGTAGTAGGAGTCGACTGTCGTTCCCAGATTTCCAGCTACAACAATCCTCGATAGGTTTAACATATAAACCAGCGGGGATATCCTCAGTATTTCCGTCAGGAAACCAAGGCCGAACCCAGGGCAATTTATTCTCCTACTTTCCTCGAAATAACAGTAAGGGAACAGACAGCTCATTATCAGTAGAGCGTTCCGCAAATAGCTGATTAATGAATTCATCGGAACTTTAGACTCTGATGCCAGAAGCAATATAGCGAAAATTAAGTTAACAGGCGGGAAGAGCCGAGAGAAATTATCCGGTAAAAGAATCCACTTCTATCGATAAAGCTCTTACTATGTATTCCGAGTAAGGAAGAGCTATCTATCCATAGATTTGCTGCTCGAGCCCATAATGTTTCGAACTTAAAGGAAGACGAGCCTCAATAGCATCAAAAAGGCGCGTAAGGACACTAACAGCCCTCTCAACATCTACCGGAGTATATTAATAGAACTCCTAAGGGAATACTCTGATCAAGTATTCTGAGTATTTCTTTCTACAATCAGAATATATTGTGAATTTGGCTTTGTCGATCATATCCAGATAGGCTTACAGAATATATTGCAACGGCCGCCATAGCTACTGTTCCAGATCAAACCAGATCAGATCTCCCTAGTCCCGAGGTCTAGGACAAAGAAAGCTAGCTTGGCTTGTTGATCGAATCTATTCGACTTATCAGTGTTTCTGTACAAAGTTTCAGTATATCCTAATAGGAATCCTACAGTATACCAATTTCTTCATCACTCTACGTCTAGGTTAAGGAGTATAACCACACCAAGTAATCGTCCCAACACCTTTAGAGAGGAGAGTCCTATACATATAGAATGTCGTCTTTCCCATAGAGTGCCATCAGATAATAGAAAAGATAAAAATCCGAGAAAGGGTCGAATATAATAGCTTTTGCCAACCGTAGAAACTAGATTAATTTCAGGTTCAGGCGAGTTGCTAGGTCAAAGGGCACTAGGAATAAGCCGCCGCTTTGTTGCTGGTGAGCAGTGTGACCCTACACCTTTTTAATCTCCATAGTGTGTTCAGTACGTATACCATTGCTGCCAATTCACCGGAGTATGGGCTCTTCTCGGTTCTTGCACCCAGTATGACAGAGAAAGTTTTCAGCCTCGGTTTTCGATACCGAGGTGGCTGCTTCTCAATCGCCACTCCAAATCCTACTATGTCATTCCGCGCCGAACTACTGACCACAATCCGCATAACTCCGCCGGCTTCGGTCTGTGTTTCTGGTATATCATGACCATCACTCTGCACCCGTTCCTCCCATGGTGCCAATGTGAATGGATTGATGGTTTCCAGTGTTTCAGTATACGCTATACAAGATATGGAAATGAGTGTATCTCATGAAGGCTAGCATCTATTGAGGCGTGTTTGCCGTATTTTCTGAGGAAAGGGCTACTCCCGGCTGAAGGCTTAGACCTTGGCCCTCTTCTTTACAACGTATTTAATGAGTTTTGGGCTTACCGTTTCTTGACATCTGCCGCACAGCCACATTAATGTTACTAATTCCGAGCCTGTAACTAAATTTGGCTGTAATATTCTGTAATACATGCGTTTTGATTATACGATACACCCGCACCCGAAGGCGTGTATCTATCTTTTCGACACTCAAACGAAGGCCTAGCGTTTGTGATGCATATAGTAATATTCGAAGACCGTTTACTCCCGGGACACTCATGCTTTGCCTCGGCTCGGACCCGAAACCACACTAATCTGTATAAGGTTATTAAAGGCAACAGCACGTACCAGAATGTGAAGCTACTCTCTTTGCCGGGCAAGCGGTCCGGTCGCTCGGGTTGACGGCCCGAACCGCGTCAGTGTCAGGAACTCTTGCATGTTTGAAGATGTCTTATATCACGTTGATCTTCATTGTATTTCTATGGTAACCAGGGTATATCAGGAACTCCTGTCGTTCTCTGAAGTCCTAAATACGCACCGATTCAACGTGTCGTTCAATATGGATGATAAAGCATACGCTCTCCCTCCGAGGTCTCGAGTGCTTGTGACCGGAGCGAACGGCTACCTCGCTTCACAGATAATTGATCTATTGCTTAGTCGTGGGTATCTTGTACGCGGGCAAGTGCGTCAACATCGACAATGGCTAGATGAGCATTTCAAGGGCAAGTATGGCGATCTCTTCGAGTCTGTCGTCCTATCTGAATTAGATGATCGCGAGGGCATAGCTCCTTTGCTAAACGATGTAGCCGGCGTGATTTTGGTGGTATGGGATTTAAGTTTGTACCGAAGTGGAAATGGCGTGGGACTAACTATTGTTAGGCAATGGACATGTCCTTTGAAGATGACCCGACCATCGTCGAGAAAACAGTGAAAAGAACTCTGACTTGGCTCGAAGTCGCTGCGGAATCACCCCTAGTCAAACGTGTAGTACTGACGTCCTCTGCCTCTGCATGTGTGACGCCCGTAGCGAATTCACCCGCTCAATTTGATAAAGGCATGTCATAGACATTAGGATGAGACATCGTGCTAACAAGTACCAGATTCATTCAACGATGCGGCTGTTGCTGCTGTCCAGAACAACACACCTGAGATCCCAGGTATGATGGGGGCGTCTTCATATGCCGCTTCGAAAACCGAAGGAGAAAGAAGAAGCAGTGAAATGGGTGGAGAATCACAAGCCCTCTTTTGTTCTTAATAGGGTTGTGCCTTATTGGTGTGTAAGTATTGCGAATTCCCTTTTTGGCTAGATACCTATTATTGACTTTATATAAGCTCGGCCCTCGCGTTCACCCCGAGGCTGGTGGACCGATGGGAAGTATGGGCATGACAAGTGCACTTGTGAAGGGTTACGGGGACTTCATGTATATGTTCCCACCCAGTGAGTGCATTTCTAACTCCCACTTATACTGTACTAACAATGTTCAGTGTGGTACGTGAGTGTCAAAGATGCAGCATATCTCCACATTGCCGCTCTTCTTCATCCAGACATAAAGTCGGAACGCATTTTTGCTATGGCAGCACCATTCAACTGGACTGAAGTTGTGGAGATCATTCGCAAAATTCAACCGGATAACCATAAGATTCCCAGTCCACCAGCCGACGAAGGCCGCTGTCTGCACGAGTTTGTGGAGGCCGGCAGGGGAGAGAAGCTTTTACAAGGGTTTTGTGGACAGCCTGGCTGGACGTCGTTAGAGGATTGCCTCGTTGCTGGCTTGCCAACATACGAGTGATGGTATGTCAGAGAAAGAGGATAATTCTCAAAGTGGAGTGCAACTATTTGAATCGTTGGTATTTTCCAAGCGCAAATATGCAGACAATATCATACCTTAATAGGAAACCTAGGGACTAAACGATTTCTCAGCGGGTTGAAAACCAGGAAGCGGTCTATTACCAATCTGGTGAATTGCAGAAGCTTATTTTACAGCTCTGTTGGGTGACGTCAGTTCTTGGATTTCCAATGTCTTGAAGAAAGAAATTCGTCATATTAACCATAGCACTCTAGCATTTAAATGGGGGAAAGACAGTATAGGTAGTGTGTGACCCAAGGCAATTATTTGACATGTAAATTCGTAATGTCATTCACAGGCGAGTGTGCCACCCGCTATTCTTACTACCGCATCTTCCTATATTCCATCCATCACTATGCCTCCCACAAGCAATAGATCGAGCCAAAAATCAGCTCATCAGTAATGGATTATATTACTTGGCAAACAGGCTCTTCAGAATAGAAAAAGAAAAAAAAGAAATCGCCTCTATACGCGATGCAAGTACGCGACCACACGCGACGTCTCAGCGGAACGATTTCTACCGACACCTCTATTCTGCACATTCTATTTAGTATTCAAAATCTGACCCACCAAAGTACTCAACTGGCTATGCCCGTCCTATGTAGTTCGCACTGTAACAACCATGTTTCAACCAATCTTGAATCATTCTTTCCCTTGTATTGTCGCAATGCAACGCGTTATGGAAAATGTATCGGGTAAAGTATTGACGTCTGTACTTTACTGTATTATGCGTCAACTCTACATAAGTTTACAAAGCATAATGTCGCGACAAAGTCACTGTTACTAGTCGGATACATTGCCTAACGTAATTCCCGGCCGACCCGATCACCCGGTGGACCCGATCACTCCAAAACACGTAGTAAATGCGATAAATTACAACTGTATATCTCAACAACTATATCTATTCAGGATAAGTTATTGAATTTATGTAGTCTAGATAGTATTTCTGAGCTCTTCGCATAATAAACGAAGATTAATTCTAAGTATTGATAGAGAAATATATATTTGAATGTCAAACGTCAAAAATACGCTGTATTTTATTGTAAGCCCCGGGGCCTCTACTAGAGCTGTAAAAATAATTTAAACTTCGAATATATTGTTCACTAGGCTTAGGAGATCTTATAACCTCAATTTTAAAGTAAAATACTACGTTGTGGTTGAATCATCATAGAATAACAATGTTGTATTTACCATGTGTTTTCCGGTGATCGGGTCCACCGGGTGATCGGGTCGGCCGGGAATTACGTTATTACTTGGCAATTAGTAATTAGCCTGCTTACCAAAGCAGTAACCTTTGTTAAATAGCTTTTTGCCCCTATTATGGAATAAACCAGACTTTCATGCAAGAGCAATTACCATTACCAAATGACGACTAGCGGCCTATCGTGGTCGTGAAACATAAGGATCTGAGAGGGAAAACTGCCTGGGAAACTCATCAACGCAAAGCAATTGATTACTGAGCATTAAAAATACCGTGAATGCGTGGACCATTGGATGTTTCCTAAATTCTAGTAACAACAGACTAGGATGTCAGACTGCTAATGCGCCGAGCCTGTTTGTTTAGCAGGCTACCGAATGGGGTTCCGGTGCGGCCCCCGAGTCCCTCCAAAGACGGGCCGACCGGAGCGAAGTGGGTCGTCTCTTTCTCCCTTGCGACATGTCAGATCCCATGGTGCCATAACCATACCGCCATAGTTATGCTATAGTGTCAGTGCCAGTTCAATGTGCCGCTCTTCTTTTTGAAAAATAAAGTGTGTGCACCGGCCACCCACAAGGACCATCGAGACCATCGTTGCATGCTGATCTGACGTCTTGGAATACACACTCACTTTGACCGCCAGGATGAGTCGCTTAGGAGATAATTTTGGTATTCTGTATGTTGTTGCTGCAGCTGCAGCAGTGTATTTAAAGCCAGAGCATGCTATCTACGACTCGAGACTGCTGACCCTGATTGCTGTAAATTTTTTAATTACGCTGCTCAAGTTGATATACAATGTATCGTTGTACCCAGCTCTGTTTACCCCACTAAAACAAATACAGACACCGCCAGTAAGTGAGTCGAGGTGAGCGCACAGCCAATACATTGAATCTGACATTGAGTAGGATAGACACTGGCTTAGAGGAAATGGCGAGTCTATCTTGGTTGATACGCCTTTTGAACCAATGAAGAAATGGGCGCACAATTTGCCAAATGATGGTCTGATCCGTTATTATATTGTCGGAAATTTGGAGAGGGTCTTTCCGACGAGCACTGCCGCCTTGAGAGAGATATTGGTAAACAAGGCTTACGATTTTGCCAAACCTCGAACAATACAGCAATTCTTGTACCCCATAGTTGGACACGGCCTTCTACTTGCAGAGGGAGACGAACATAAGGTACGACGTCATTATTTGGTCCTTCTAGGCATGCATTCACTCACCTTCTTCTGTTCAGGTCCAACGCAAAAGCTTGATGCCAGCCTTCTCGTACCGCCATATCAAAGATCTCTATCCAATTTTCTGGGCCAAGAGCTCAGAGATGGTGAAAAGAATAGAACAGGATCTGCAGCACAGAGGGCCCGCTGAAGATAATACAATACAAGTCAGCAACTGGGTTGGGCGAGCAGCGCTCGATATCATCGGCATGGCGGGCATGGACCAAGACTTTGACTCGCTACGCAACCCCTCCGGAAACTTGAACAAGTCTTATCACAAGGTCTTTACCATGCCTTCCCTTGGAACAAAGATGCTTATGTTACTTGGCATAATCATCGGCGATATCACATGGGTCCAGAAACTACCAACAAAGCGAAACAAGGACATCCAAGATGGAAGACAAACGATTCGCGATGTCGCGCGCCAAATGATTCGAGAAAAGAGGGAAAATCTGAAAAATACCGGCTCGCAGACTGGCGTGGATATCATCTCTGTTGCCATAGCTGGTAATTCTACCTTCGACGAAGAAAAGCTGGTCGACCAACTCATGACGTTCCTAGCTGCAGGCCATGAGACCACCGCCAGCGCTATGCAGTGGGCTATCTACACGCTCTCCAAAAAACCAGAGATACAAACGCGCCTACGTGAAGAAATCCGCGCAAATCTGCCCTCCATTTTTGTAGAAAACCCGGAGCAAATCGACGCTGTCACGATCGACAACCTGCCTTACCTACATGCTGTCTGCAACGAGATCCTACGTTTTCATCCATCCGTGCCCAACACCAATCGTGTCGCCCTCAAAGATACCACTTTGGTGGGCAAGCCTATCCCAAAAGGTACAACCATTGTTCTAGCTCCGGAAGTCATCAACAAACTCGAGGGGCTATGGGGTCCAGATGCGGCCGAGTTCAATCCCGATCGGTTCATGAGTCCGGGTATGGCGAATACGGGTGGTGCAACTAGTAACTACGCTCTTCTCACATTTCTTCATGGCCCTCGTGGCTGCATCGGACAGGGTTTTGCGAAGGGTGAATTAGCCTGTTTGCTTGCTGCTACCGTTGGTCGATTCAAATTTGAATTGAAGTATCCGGATGCTAAGCTGGAAGTGCGGGAAGGTGCTACTCATGCGCCTAAAGATGGTGTTTTGGCGAAGTTTACGTCGGTGGAAGGATGGTAAAACTGATTTCGGCGTTTCTTTGCTGAGCTAGGATTCGACCGGTATATATCCTTCTTGTTGGATAGATTGTCGTGCCGGTTCAGTGGGGTGTTGTATCGCAATCCGACCTTAACGTGTTAAGACAAGCAAAAGCACGGTAATCTCGTAAAAGCACGGTAATATCTATGCAGGTAGAAAGATCGGTTAAAATAATGGGATGATATCAGAAAGAATCTGACCAGTATTTTTGAAGTAGGGTGCATTACGTTATGAAAAGAGCTTGATCAATTATGCCCCAACATACAAGTAAGACATGGATCGATTCTATAAACGAAAGTACCCTTCAAATCATCAAGCAGGTCAAAATCATTCTGGCACTAACATGCAAGCCTCAACATTTGACAACGAGTGGCGGGTCATAAATCTGATTTGTTTTCCCCACAAAGCATATCCAAAAGGACGTATCTAATGAATTGAAAATCTCACACCCAGGAGCTGTTTAACAAAAGGACCCCAAGTGCGGCATAAACTCATATGGGCCCGGAGCCAGCTCTCCAGTTGTAGAATTAAGCGGACTCAGGAAAGTAAATGAGGTATCTAGGTCTTGGAACACAGAACTATCAAACCCTGAATTGCCAATTTCTTGGGCTTTTGACCCCATGTAGCTGTAACGACTTCCAAGAGGGGAGAGGAGGTCTGTGATAGAGTATGTGTTTGTTGTTGATTCCGGGCTTGGCTTTTGCCGTTTGTGTTGGGTCTTTCGGGCGCTTGTTACGTTTTTCACGATAACTGATAGTTGGTAGAGCCTCCTGTTGTAAGACATGTCGGATCGGCTATCTGTGATTGTTTCAAGCATGTCGACGTAGTCTTGGATCATGCTGAGATCGGGCTTTGAATCTTTGCTGCTGAGGATGGATGAAAGAACTTCGTAGAGATATAGTGGAGGAAGCGAAGCAACGAAGCTATATGGGCGTAGCGTCATTAGTTATCCGTGTTGAGAGTAGCTATGGCTGCTTCAATACTTACGATGGGAAAACGGCGTGCTTGCCTTTGTCGGGTGGTGAGTTCCAAAGGCTTAGCACAAGTTTCATGCACATTCTAGAGACCTCTTGACATCGTTGAAATATGGTGTCTGGGTGGTGTTGGTGGGGCCAGATCAGTAACAATTGAACATTCAGGTATCTGATCGCTAATTGAAGCTTAGAAGCAGAGGTCTCAGGCAGTGTTTGAACAATGTCAAAGTCCATTCCCGAGTTCGTCAGCCAGACTTGAAGCTTCGATAACATCATGGTTGCGAAACCCCGAATCTCATCTTCATTTTTAGGCTTGACTTGGTTTGCGTATATTTCCAAGTAAATAGTCTCCTCAATCTTAGCCAGCTCAGATTTTGCGATGAGAGATGACGCAAGGCTAGCTTCGGAGGGCGCAACGTATGACTCGAAATAAATATCCGATGCGGGTATGTTTGGAGGCAACCCAGCTGTCCAGCACAGTGCTTTATCAATCGTGTACAAACAGTACGAGATGGTTTGACGCTCCATTATGTCCTCGTCGCTGAGGTGGCCTTGGAAAGATTGCCATTGGTGGATACCAGTCAACTTTGCGCACCGGGCAGCGAGAGAAAACAACGTCTCGGATACACCGATAGAAAAATGCTCCTGTGCCACCATGTACTACAGATGGTAAGCCTCGCACTAGGTAGGGGCAGAGAAAATATGTATTCATTTAGAACGTACCAGGGATAGGAGAGCCTGAACATTGATCAGGCCAGGTGAGACAAGCTGATCAATGTTTTGAACAGCTCTCCTTGCGTTGGCAAGAAATCCTGCAATCATGTCAAATTCCATTGACGAAACCTTGGTCCCTTGTCTGTTCTGCATTGACTCGCCACGATTCGAGCACAATGAGTCTGCCGACATGGCCATGAGAATGAGGTTATTGCAGCAGATGAGAGACGCCAGGCCTCGTTCTGACGATGGAGATTGTCGTAACGTGGTTGCCATGCAAATAAATTTCTCCTTTTGCCAAATGGGGAAGTGAGGGTTGATTGAGGAAAAATATGGCTCAATCATGGCATCCAAAATAGCAAACGGAGGTGTGGTCGGCGGTGATTTATCCTTGACGCATTCTCCCTCCCCTTGTTTAACAAGAAGATCGATCTTTCGTTGTGCTTCTGAGATGCATTCCTTGAACGTGTGGCTTTCACTGTCGCATCCATTTGTCATATTGTCCTTGATCTTGAGCATGAGTGACTCAAGAGACGTGGATCCAAAGGACCGTTCATCATTATTGTGACCCAAGAAAAATCGACCGAGAGGTCGTTTAAAGTCCCTCGTTTCCAAAGTGTCTAGGAATTGCTCCGGAGAAAAATGGGATCTCTGTCCTGGAGGACTGGATGAACGTCCTACAGGATCTGGCGTGGCTACACTTTGCTCATCGAGGAGTTGTTTCAATGATCTTTGTGTGTCTGCTATTGTATTCTTTTATTCTGATCAGTAACAGGCAGCTTAATAACACTATTTTCACTACGCCTGACTTACTTCAAGATGTTGGATGCGGCTTCCCATTCCAAGAATAGTATGGCTTCTGTGAAATTATGAGTTAAGAATCGGCAGGCATAGACGGAATTCCGGCACACATACAGGAGCGTTGTTTGATTACACTTTTTGCCTTGACCAGACCATTCACATTGTAGTCTAAGACGGGTACAATTTTTGCATGATGGTTTCTCTCTACTGCAGCGAATCTTCCTGGATCGACATTGGTCGCAGACTTGGAAGTGATCGGTCACATTAGCTTTTCTTTTCTTTGACTGCAGCTGACATGTCACTTACCAGTGTACTCATCTCTATTTGTCTCTCTAACCATTTTGCTAAGCTTTCTAGAGATCAGTTGATAGCCACGTAAAGTTGGGTTGGTGCACTAGAAAGTATGACGAGGACTGTGCCCAGCGTGGGATTATAGCCAATTTGTGCTGGGGAGGGCCCTTGCTGATGGCTGGCCTTTGAGAGTGCTACGATCGGGATGCAACATGCACGACTTGACTCGTAATCGACCGCTAGGATGTGACTGTAGGCAGACTCTTTGCTCCTTGACACGGGCGGGCTAACCTTATCAGGGGTTGAACCCTCCACTGTCCAGCGTCTGAAGCAAGCCAGTGCCAATCCGCTACGGGGTGCGAGGGATTTGGGGGGGGGGAAGTTGCAGCATCGTGCAGGTCTCCCACATTGTACCCATGGAAAGAAGGTGCTTTAGTCTATCATGACGAACGCTTTTAGGAAAGAGTTGTCCGCTTCGCTCCGGCGAGGCCGTGGGGGTGTTTCCTCCCGGGATGAGACTATGCTGCGGCTACGTGGCTAACGCCGTGCCTCGCTGCTTCGTGATTGGAGTAATAATTGTCAGATAGATGAAAGGTCTCAGGTCCAGTGGAGTTCTTAAATTGGAGGATCCCCACGCTCGTCGCATTACATGGCAGCACTAGCTGGGTCTGGCTTTAGATGCTCAGCCTCGCTAGGCGTACGATGGCATTTGAAGTTAGCGTGAAGCATGACGATTGCACTAGCGTGAGGGGAACTATCCCTCACCTTACGGAGTACATCCTAGTGAATTAAAGACTAAAACATATTCAACGTAGTGCCGGTAAGGTTTCTCGTCTGTCAAAGGATTCAAAAGGTCGAAGTTACGACGCGATCTGTATGTCTTCCTTTGTTTCGACCAGACGATTTGAAAGATCGCGTGGGGTCAGAATTGAGGGATGAGGTTAAGGTGTATCGAAACATGCACTAGTCCTGGTTGGGAACTATCGTTGAGGAAAGCGCACGGCCCGGACCGGTCCATATTTAAAGCCGGGAGGCAAATAGCGAAATTCGGTACATCAATCAATGATCTTGAAGGCTCCGGTATTATCTAATCGCTCGAAATACTATTCATTGTGCGAAGCCACTACAACAGGAAACCATTTTTCCGCTGGCAGTGGAGGATCTCATGGCGGCATCCTACGGATTGTAAACAGAAGAATGATACACTCCAATCTAATTAAGCGACTTTGAGTGTAATTTTGGTTGAAATTGAAAATATCAAGGTAGTACAGTGGTGTTTCATAAAGTTTGAAACCCTCCGCTTTTTACCGCCGTCTTTGACCGCCTGCACTAGTCCGACCGCCTAACCTCCGTAGTAGCGCGTCGCGCAGTAGCATTTTGGCAGTAAAGAAATGTACGCCCAATCATGTCCATGGAAAGTTGTCTAAGTTGCCATGCTCGTACACACACAAAATTGTATGGGCGCGAGCATGACTAATCTCGACTAGTCTACGAAACAGTAAACTAATACATATCCTGACAATATCAATTCTCCACTGATACTGACATATTTTAAATCTACGCGTTCATCCACTTGATTATGCCTGCTAGTCGCAAAGGGTGGTCATTGCCTGCATATAGGGCCCCCATACGGCCTCCTACTTGTCTACGGAAATATGAGCTTGATGCTTTTACGCGTATAAAGCCTGTGGTATTGAAAAAAGTCGCTAGATGGCCTATAAGCAGATTCATACGTAATATCCATTAATTCCAATCGGCATTCTCAAGACTACAATTACTAGAGAGAGTAAGCGGGTCGATAATTTATCTATGCCACGCTCCGGACGTCCTCGAAAGCTCGACGATGACGATAAAGCGAAGCCTTTAAACGCAATTGATAAAAACCCGCGCGCTTCCTATGAGGATCTCCTTTCTACTATTGATTATAAGGTCAAAAGAGCATCAATTGAGCGTCTTCTCGCTAAAGAGGGTCGACTAAAATGGCTTGTACTTGATCGGCCTGATTTAACACCTTTCACGCGCAAAAACGACTCGAATGGGCTCAAAAGTACGCAGGCTTTACTTCTCGTGCTTTTGACCGTGTATTTTAGTATACCGAGTGTAGAGTTAACCGAAGTATAGGAGAGAGACGAGAGTAGACTTTTAATCGCCCAAAATACCAACTTCCGCAACTCGATATCCGTGGACTACCGACAAAAGGAAAGCAAATTAACCAGATGTTTTGGACTACATTCTCTAGCTCTACACGACGTACTGGCCTAATCACTTTATTCGGAAATCCAGAGTCTACTCAAGGAGGTGTCGATCGCTTTTTTATTCCCGATCTTTACCTTCCAGTTCTGCCTACTTTACTTCAAATCAAGACGGCATTTTTCAACATGACAACGCGTTAACACATACTGCATACGTCGTGCGCGAGGCTCTTAGTGAACCAGGCCTCAAGATTATGGATTGGCTAGCTAGATCCCTAGATCATAGTCCATTTAAGAATATTTGGGCGCTCTTAAAAGACAAGCTCTATAAGCAGCATCCGGAGCTAAAGAGTATGCGCAATAATAACGAGACACACGAGCTTTTGATCGAGTGGGTGCAGGAAGCATAGGGTGAGTTAGACCTCAATATCATGAGGCATCTCTCGGAGACTATACCACATAGAGTACAGGCTATTATTAACGCAGAGGGTTGGTATATTAAATATTAAATATTAGGCTCGAAATCGCGGAGTTTGTGGCTGGCAGAATATTATGTAAAAGGGGTAGCAGAAATGGGCGGTAGATAACGGAGGGTTTCCTTGAAGGTTCAAACTTTGCGAACACTACTGTAGAGGATCAGCAGTGCAGAAAGCCATCGGGGACTCATTGGGTAACGTAATTCACGGCCGAGCCGATCATCGCAGAACACATAGTAGATGGGATTTCTCAGGTCACTATATGTCAACGACGAAAGTTCGTTTTGCTTAATTTTTGGTATCATATTTTTCTTCGCGTGAGAAATACTAGTAGTTTACCTTGACTGTAATATGGGGTAAATGGTTGTTTATCTGCATTACTAAATATATGCTCCGGTCGAGTGATCCCAATAATATATCTCGACATGGTAATACCTCAAAATACTTCTTGACTTGATAAACAGACTTAATACGATGTATTATGTACTGGGATATGTTAAAACTCTATTCTAAGCCTTGAGCGTTAAAAGACGAAGCTGTAATTTGTCACATTTACTATGTGTTTTGCGGCGAGCGGGTCGGCCGTGAATTACGTTTAAGTCCAAGACTATCGTTTCGCCTGCAGATCGGGGACGGGACCCGGCGCGGTTTGCTCGATGTGCTCGGCGCACGGGCCCCGACTGGCTCGCATCCACTTGGCCTTTTTGTAAGACTTCAACCCCCATGGCCTCCGCCCTGACGGACTATTCATTGAGTGCAACTCATACATCGGAACGTCCTAATTCAATTTCACGTATACTTCGTCGGCTTGAGCCGATTTTGGGGCTACTCTCTCCAAAACCAAACTATGAAGCCTGACCAGGACTTATTTGGCAAAGTAACTATCGCATTCCACATATCAAGGATACATATTGACATACTTGGCAGACAGCCTTTGTGACTGGTGGCTCTGGTGGGTTAGGGAAAGCGATTTCCAATGCCCTTGCTTCCCGAGGTAAGTTGATTCGTCAAATATTTACAGCGATATTTTTACACCTAACATCGACCTAGGTGCACATGTAACTATATTTTCGCGACGACTCGGCCCTCTAGAAGCCGCAAAGAATGAGATAGTCACAAATTGTGCTGATGCCAGGCGGCAAGAGATCAATGCGGTGCCTGTTGATCTGGCAGATGCAGGGGCAGTATGTGATCCTGGGATCTTTTTCCTGGAAAATTGTTCTAACTAGCAGATAACCAGGTCTCCGAAGCCTTCAAATCTCAAACTCGAATCGCCGATTTCTTATACTGTTCAGCGGGTGGAAACCATGCCGAGAACGGTTTCTTCGTCGACCTCAAAGCCTCACAGCTCGATTCCTGCATGAAGAATAACTACTATTCTACAGCTTACGCCGCAAAAGCCATGTTGGACATTTGGCTTGAAGATGACAAGAAGTCCTCCAGCACCGATACCCAGAAAGAACCTAAAAGACATACTACGCGGAAGATGGTATTCATCAACAGTGCAGCAGCGTTCTTGGGCATACCAGGTAGCGTCGCGTATACCCGTGAGTCTTCGCCTCAAACATGCCTCCGAATGTCTGTTGAAAGACTTACTAACACTTCCACTCAGCCGCCAAAAGTGCCGTCCGAGCCCTCGCAGATACCCTTCGCTTCGAATTCCTCCGTCACAACTCCGCAATGACGACCTACACGGTCCACATTGCCTTCCCAGCAGACTTTGTGTCTCCTGGTTTCAGACTCGAGCAAGACACCAAGCCGCATCTTACAAAGCGCATCCAAGGAACAAACCTTGCATCATTTGAAGAGCTAGAGAATAAATTCCCATCGTCAGAGAAGGTTGCGCTTGGAGTTATTGCGAAGGTTGATCTGGGGAGCTTTATTATATGTGAGGATTCGCTGGCTGCTGGTTGTTTGTTCACGAACATGACCGGGTTGAGCCCCAAGAGGGGGCTTGGGATCGTGGATTCAGTGATGGGTGTTGTTGTTGGGTGGATAGTTATGCCTGTTTTGAGACGGAGATGGGAACGGATGTGTAGGGAGGATGGGGAGAGAATGTGACATCTAGACTTGGAAGTATTTCCTTTGTTCAAAATAGTGGAATATCTATCCGAGTGTATGTATCTTGTCGTATGTTATTTCCCAGGAGCATCATCAAGAACTATCCTTGCATATAATGTGGCATCAATATTGAACAGTGTATACTACTGTGAGAAGATGTAATGGAAGCTTAGCGTAGCACCCGTGGACCAGGCTACTAATGTTCTATTCATAAAGCTACGCTCTATATTCATCAGACATCTGGCGAAGCTGCTGTTCCACAGCCGGCCAGAGGTCTTTGCGTAGGGAATACAAGCACCAAAAATTACCAGCAGCATCCTTGCCGATAACCACACCAGTATTGCGTGTTGCATATCCCTTAGTCCCAGTGCCCTGGATTGAGGATGGTTTGCCCAGCGAATTTGTCCGGCTCTTCAATGGCAATCCTTCCTTTTGGACAGCAGCCGAGAAATCAAGTTCGAAAAGCTTTGATTTGGCCCAATTGGAGATCATGATCATGTACATGCTGGGATTCCCAAACAGCGCCGGATGATGCGTATTGTCCAGTGTTCCCCTTTGAATATAATCCAATGCCTGCAGCTGCTCTATGTTCCGTTGTTGAATCAAAGACTTGCGAATCTCGGAGGCGGTGAAACTCAACGGTTCTTCGAGGACCTGGCGGACGGAGAGGAATGTCAAGGTTGCAAAGACGGCGTTGGTTACCAACGCAGAACTAGAGGATGGAATGTGGCCAAGGTCTGCCAGAAGTGATCTGCAACAGTATGTATTTCGCATGTTGATTGTGCGGTTAGGTGATGGTTTAGCCGCTCGAAGAACGACTCGTGTCCACCAAGCGAACAGGACATCACCATCGCTGATGAAAACGGGGGTATTGTTCTCATCAGTATGCCTGGCTGCGAGATCTTCCATTGCCTCTTCGCGCATCCGTTTCATGTGTTTTGCCGGCAAGAAAATGACCCTTTCTTCCTCACGATGCTTCCAGAATAGCTCGACCCCGAGAACGTAGCGCACGGCAAACAAGAACCATGTCCAACCAATGATCAGTGTATCGGCAAAGACATATTTCTGCACCACGTCTGCCTTTGCGTCACTGAGACCGGCCAGTGGATCATGAGAAAATCCCTCAAAGGGCTTCACCTCCTGTTCTCGTCCGTCAAGCACAGCAGTCCAGGCATCCAGTACCGCATTGAGACCCATCATGTCCATCAGGCTATGAAGAAAGGACACGGTAACAAGCGTGCCATCTTCGAAGGTGATGACGCGAATTCCGAGTTGTGGACTATCTGAGGACAGCCAATCTTCCAAATACTCCGGGAAAGCAGGAGTCCGAATGAACGATCTGAACTCCGGCTTACTCGCAAATCCCACACCAAAGACAGACGCCTGTCCGTCTGCATGGATCCGATGAGGGTCCGCCAATCGGGATGCCTCTGGATGGTCGGCTATCGTGGTGTTATATGCGGCCGTGGAGTATGCAAAGCCCGGCCGCTTGTCGTCGAAGCTCCGTGGCACGTGATATTCGAGCTCGCCCTTTTCATTTCTGCGTATTCGAGCGCCGAGTTTTCGCCAGTCTCCAATTTCGAGAAGCCGGGCTAGCGAGATTCGGAGCTTTTCATGGTCCAAAACATCGTCAAAGCGGAATGTGATATCGAACGAGAGGCCTCGCGTGTGGTGGTCGTCATCCCAGTAGTGGAATGGGATGATGGTGTCCGCTGGGTTCAGGACAGGTGCTCGTCCAAACCTCATTTTGAAGCGGACTTTGAGTTTCACAAAGAAGGGGACACATCTCCCTACTATGTACACATGTAGTATCACTCAAGAAGACTGGAGAGCCACCGGATCCACTGGGTCGGCCCGAAGAGGGTATTGCCGTTGCCTGATCACCACATTTTCCTACTTCGGGGTAGCTTCGCTGGCCGGGATCCGTCCTGCGGGCCCGGAGATTGCCCTAAAGGAATCCTGCGCGTGGGTGGGGCTGTCCGACGCCAGCCCGGATGAAAATTCTTGTAGGTATATGTAAATGTGTATTTGATCTGTATAATACCATACCAAGGTTACATTTTCCTACCCCTACCTCTTGCATGCGCCCCCTCTCCTTCTTTCAAACCCCCTTGTTTGGCGTACTCCACGTGTTGATTCATGCTGGGTCAGAACAATTTTCCAGAACCCCGAGGAAAGGTTCTCTCCTAGGGGCTCCGGAATCCAAAGATCACTCTGAACACACGCGAACACATGATCCGCTCTTGTCAGGTCGCTACCAGCTACCAATCGAGCTCCTGCACATCTTATCTCCACCTTCAACTTTAACCCTGGCCCTGACGCGAACTGTGAAATACTGTGTTCAAAATGGGCTTCTTTCAGTCCAGCACTGACAGGCCCGAGATATCCGCTCCCGAGGTTTCAGTTCAACAAGATGCGGAACCCAGATCAGAGAAGACAGGGCATGCAGAGAAAGAGATGGACGAACCTATAGAAACCCACGATGGGAGCGATGAAACGCAGTCACCAAAGAAACCATTGTCTTTCCACTTGGCATTCATTGGCCTCGCTACCAGTCTTTTTGTCTTCCAGATGGACGCAACATGTCTGGGTATAGCGCTGCCTGTAAGCTACGAAGATGCCTCTTTTGCTCCAAACATTACTTTTCCGATGATGCAAAGGCTAACCCATATGACAGACCATAGCCGGTGATTTAGGCGGCTCAAATTTACAGTCTTTCTGGGCGAATCTGGCCTACACGCTATGTGGCCTCTCCTTGCAACCAGTATGGGCCAGTATCTCCGACGCATTTGGAAGGAAACCGCCTCTCTTCGTATCCATGGCATTATTCTTTATTGGATCTATTGTTTTCTCCACCGCCAAAAACATGAACACGATCATCGTTGGCCGAGTATTGCAGGGCCTCGGCGGCGGAGGAATCGACGTTCTCACCGAAGTCATTTTGGCCGACATGACGACGCTGCAGGAGCGCTCGACATACCTTGGCTTAATGGGCATTCCTTCGGCTATCGGCAATATCTTGGGACCATCCGTTGGAGCGCTGTTCGCTTCCTACGCTAGCTGGCGGTGGATTGGATGGGTTAATTTGCCCATTCTGGGGGTTGCTACACCGTTGCTGTTTTTCTTCCTCAATTTACGGCGGGTCAAGCTCGATGCCTCTCTCGGCGGCAATCTGGCTCGCCTTGATTGGATTGGTATGATGCTGATGATTATCGGTATTACTATCTTCGTGTTGCCTCTCAGTTGGGCGGGTTCTCTGTACCCGTGGGCTTCGTGGCAGACTCTTCTTCCGATGCTTCTGGGAGTTGTGGTACTTGTTGGCTTCGGGTTTTACGAAGCGTACCCAGCGTCACCGATCGTTCCTCATCGACTGTTCCATTCTACGACTGCCAATATGACATTGGTGGGAGTGTTCTTCCATGGCGCAATTCTAGTATCTCTTTTGCAGTATCTACCTTTGATATATCAAGCTGTGCAACTCGAAACTCCAATCCTGTCTGCCGTCTCCTTACTGCCGACTGTCATTACCAGTGTGGTATTTGCAGCTATCTCAATGATGATGGTCCCGTTATTTGGAGGATATGCGTGGCTCCTCCGGTTCTCGTGGGTCATCCTCACGCTGGGAACTGGTTTACTCGCTTTGTTCAACGTTGGATCCTCAGAATCAATGCGTTATGGACTTCCGATCTTGTGGGGGACGGGTGTTGCCTTGCTCCGTCTCAGTATCCTTCCCATGCAAGCGAGTGTCAAGGATATCAATGACACTGGCCTCGCAATCGGATTGCTGTTAGCTATTCGCATGTTCGGAGGTCTGGTAGGGCTCACCATTGCTTCAACCATTTTCAATACAACCTTTTCAATCTCCTCCTCTTCAATAGAGCTTACCGGATCCCTGGCACCTCTTCGGGACGCTGCCAATGCTGTCAACTTCATTGACAAGCTGAGGTTGCTTGATATTTCAGCTGCAAACCTTGATCCAATCTTGAGAGTTTATCTCAAATGTTTCCAGACCATCTTTTTTACAATGACGGGCCTGAGTGGTTTTGGTCTAGTGACCTCATTCTTTGTTGTCGAGATTGATTTGAATCGGAAAAATCTTGGAAACCAACGGTTCGAAGAATAGTTGATTCCAATAAAATGGAGATCACACGACCTACCCAGCTTGAAGCATCTTGAGATCAGCAGCTCTATTGAGTGAAGGACACCGTTAATAATTTTCTTTCATTTGTTTTATTATTGTCCGGATATATTGTAATGAACTTTCCAACAAGCACGTAGTTCGAACATCGTAGATAGGCCTGCAAATGCAATCTCTAAACATTCTCATAGTCAATAGTATCCCACTGCTTAGGCTGATTGATAACATCCTGCAGCTGCTCCATAGCCCCCTGAAGATCATCCAGCCCCAGATGCAACGCCAGCTCAAGATAATCCTTGGTCCACAACCCTGGCGAGCCACGCGGGTACTGCGACCTAAACCCAACAAATCTCTGCGCTCTCTTCGACAAAGTTTTCGCAGTTTCCAACGTAATAATAAACGGATGCGCCTCAGATGGCGTCAAGAAACTCGGAATAACAGTAAGCTGGATACACTTCCGCTCCATCTCGGTCTTGTTCTCGCCCATGGCATGAATCACCTTCCCACCAATAAGCAAACAATCGCCCGTCTTCATTTCCGCCGGAATTGTCTGCCCCATGTTGCCGCGCTGGTCAAACGGCCACTTATTGCTCCCAGGAATAAGTCGCGTCGCGCCCTTCTCCTCTGTGAAATCCGAAAACGCAAAGAGGAAGTTGATCTGTGGCTCCGTGCCGTCGGGCCCGAGTTGTGCGTACGGCGGGTAAGACGTCAGATCTCGGTGCAGGACCTGTCCCGGCTGGGGGCCCAAGGCATTCAGCGTCGTTGCCGCGGACAGCCAGTAGTCGCCATTATGTCCTCCTTCAGTGAAGGTGCGCCTGCAGATGCTGTGGATGAAGTCATTCTCGAGAATGAGCTCGCGGAACGTCGGGCTGTGGTTTATTATGTCGCCGGCGCGCTTGGTCTTTTTGCCGTGGAAGGCTGCTAGATCTGGGTGCGGCACTCGCGAGCCACGTTGGACGGAGTCTAGGCGGGCTTCGAGTTCGTGGGTGATTTGGTTTGCTTGTGCTTCTGTGAGCATGTTCTTAAGGATTACGCCGCCGCTTTCTTTCCAATGTTTGAATACTTCGTCTAGCGGGGTGTCGGATGTGACTTCAGCAAGTTTGAGGCCATTGGGGATGGCAGTTTGGGGGGTGTCTGTTGGAATGCGCCACATTTTGAGGATTGGTGGTGACTCAAACGGTTGATTGGAGGGAATTAAGGAGATTGGACGACTAAATTGAAGTCAACGTGCTTTGTTGTGAAGTATAAATAACATGAGCACCGTTTACAGGTCGTAAGTTGTTGTGGCCCCTCTCCAATTACACAATTACTCTTTTAGTCTGTAGCCTCATGTTGTCAGCGTCGGGTCCCGTCCCCCGCAGCCGGCTTGTAGTCGGATCCCGGTCGCGAATGTCAGAGAGCCCACTTTGTTTCCATTCATTTCAGCTCGTACCATCTGGGAGATCTTGAATCTTGCATCAGGTAAAGCTGTACAGGAATTGGATGGTGATGTTGGGGCTCAAGACTGTAGACTCTTGGCATTATAGCTACCCAGTCCTATGTGGTTAAGTGTCCATGAGGCATATGCACCAGCCACTCAGTCAAGAAAATACCAAGCGTTGGCCTCTACATAGGGCAGATGCCGGTAACGAGACAGACTTCGCTCTAAATATAAAGCTCTAGTCATTCCCAAGATGATGTACTGCTGTTAGTGGATAATTTAGATAACCTTGGTATTCCCTCAGGGTGTATGACTCCCGGTGCTCTCTACTTTAATTATATTGTTATTGGTGTCTCGGTGACAACTCATGGATTACATTTAGCAAGGGATCCAAGTTTCCTGCCAATGCAGTTTTCTTCCTCAAGTATCGGGTCAAAAGCAATTCGTGTAGTAGTAAGTATATGACACGAAAGGTACAATCCCCCCCCCCCCCAAAGTAATCAGAAAGACAGATCATCTAGCTCTAGTTGTTCTCTGTCGCAATCCTGAAGACCTCATTGGCCACATGTTGACCGAGGATATCAAGAGATCCAATACTCATCATCTCCAACATAGGAAGATCAAATGAAAATACCTGCTTAATCCAAGCACGTAGCTCAAGAGCAACCAAAGAGTCAAGTCCAAGGTCGAGCAGCGGCAAGCTAGTGTTGAGATCATCCTGAGGCTTGAGCAGCAGATCCAAAAGCTTCTTGCCGATCTCAACAGCAAAGAGCTTCGATGCCTCAGTGGACTTCAAAATCGACGGGTCAGCCTGGGTTTTGGTCAAGTAAGACTTGAGAATATCGGTAGAACCGGCAGTTGCGCCAACCACGGAGTTGTTGTGGTAAGAGGCCATGCGACGGTCTTTCTTCCAGATCACGTAGTTGCTAGGGTCGTGCAGGGGAATAAGCAGAGCCAGTCCAACGAGGAAGGTATTTTTATGGATGAAATAGGAGTTGTTCTTGGAAGCGGTAGCAAGTGCTTTCTCGGCAGCTTGACTGGGCTTGTTGTGAACCAACATAGAGATTGCCATGGCATCAATGACCTCCTGCTCCAACACGGGCTTGAAACCGCTGCGGGACATTTTGCCCATCATACCCTGGTGCTCTGAAATCCAGCCAACGTCCTCAACAGCACCCATGTCAACCACCGAAGCTGCTAGGCCGAGGTCATTGCGATATTGGGCGAAAGAATCAAGGAAACTGTTTCCACTGGCATAATTTGCTTGACCTGCCTGTCCGACGATTCCGGAGACAGAACTGAACATCAAGAAAAAGTCGAGGTCCAATCCTGCGGCCACAGATGCATTGTGCAGATTCCAAGTCCCCTGGACCTTTGGTGCCACCGATGCGGTCCACTCGGAGAAACTCATCTTGGTGTAGTTTTCGTTGGAGACGACCATGGACATCTGCACAATACCCTTGAGGGGGTATGTAGCGCTGGCAATGGCTTTGTTGACGTCCTCGAACTTTGTGGCGTCTCCACTAACAAGTTTCACAGAGCAGCCCATGCTCTGGAGTTCGTGAACGAAGGCATCATCCTTGTTGGTAAGGCCAGCACTGCGGGACATGTAGATGATTTCGCAGGCGCCGTGGTCAACCATCCACGTGGAGACAGCCCGACCAATACCTCCAAGACCACCGACCATGAGGTACGAGGCGGATCCAGGGAATGATACCGCCAGAGCCCTCTTCGTAGTTTGGAAAGCACTGTCGGCCTCTTCTGCGGCCTCCTTGATCGCCACACCGACGCGGCCAATGTGAAGGCCCTTCTCCATGAAGCGGAACGCGTCCTGGGTCTGGGCTGCAGTGAAGATTTTCGTTGGCAGTGGAGAGATGTGTCCCTTGTTATAGAAGTCTAAAATGGTGAAGATGAGGGCCCTGGCGATGTGGATTCTCTTCCACAAACCGTCGATGTCCACACAGCAGTAGTTGCGGTTAGCCAAGAAAGGCTTCATGTCGAGCTTACTGGAACCGATCAGATCTCGCTTTCCAATCTCAAGCAGTGTTCCAAACTCGGCAACGCAGTTCCAGGAAGCGTGCAGAAGCTCACCGGAAAGTGAGTTCAGGATGAAGTCCATGCCACGGCCTCCGGTTTCCCGCATCACACCATCAACGAAGGACTTGTCGCGGGAGTTGAAGATGCGGTTTCTCGGGATGTTATAGTTGTCCATCAGATATTTCACCTTCTCCTCATTACCAACGGTTACATACAGCTCTGCCTCCAGCATCTGGGCCACCTGGATAGCTGCCAGGCCGACACCACCGCAGGCACTGTGGATCATGACAGACTAGGGAGAGTGAAGTTGTCAGTCAATTTTCAATCATGAGTAGAATGTTTATGTAGCTTACTTGGCCCTTGGTAACGCGTCCAACGTTGATCATCGAGTGAATTGCGGTGAAATAAGGGATAAGCATCGTTCCTGCCTGGTTGAAGGTGAGGCTGTCGGGAATGCGAACACAGACATCAGCCAGGGTAGTGGTGTATGTCGAGAAAGCATCCTTTCTGCAGAAGCAAACGACTCGATCACCAACTTGGAGATTGTCAGGGCTGACGTCTGCTCCCACGCGCGTAACAACGCCAGCGGCCTCGATACCGAACAGACGGACAGGAAGCTCAACAATCCCGAGAGCGACCAGAATATCCTAAACATATTTTGTCAAAATCATATCTTGAAGTTTAGACCTTTATTGCATAGACTTACGCGGAAGTTCAGACCGGCAGTGTATACTTCGACTTCGACTTCGTGCTTGTCAAGATCCTCTCGTGCATGACGCTGGTAGTGCAGACTGTTAACACGGCCAGGAGTGCGGACATTCAGAGTAGCCATCTCGTTTGACTCCTCTGAGACCAATAGATTATCTGTCAAAACGAAAGGATGGAATCGAGAAACCTGAATGCGCTCGTTGAAGATAGCCCATTCATAGTCGGGGTTGAGTTCCTCATCGCCCTGTCGTGTCTGAAACTTTCCAAGCACTTTAATGAGATGCTCAACAGACCTAAGGTTGTCCAAACAGTCAACCTGGCAGGTGGCCAAGTCGGCCAGCTGCTCTGTGCGAACTGTTCTGGCGAAGCCAAGAACCTGAGCATAGCGAGGATCACGGCAGCCGATGTCAATAAGATGGGTGACCCAGAGCATTCCGGCATCGCGCTCCTGGAGACTAAGAAGGAAAGTCTTAAATGACAGGAATTGGTCCTCATCCATATCGTGGAAGAATGGGTTCTCGATGTCCAAGAGTGAAATCACGTCCTGCCCAACGGGCGCGTCATCACCCAACTTGCACTTGCTCACTTCATAGCCTTGCTTCTCGAGCAGGCTCAGAATCTTGATGACAGCAGGGCCTTCCTGTTCGACAAGAACAGTGATCTTGTTGAGGGGCTTCTCAATAATCTGTCTCGCGATTATGGTTGTGGTAAATTGGTGAGGCTCTTCTGCACCGACGGTGAGAGCCTCCACGTTGCCGAATCCAGCGGCAATAATTTTTGTTTTCCACTCACTCTCGGTCAGGTAAGGGATGTCGGTGCGCTCATCCGTAGCACCCCAAGTCGCGGGAAGCAGACCGAGCACATAGTTCACCCACTTGGATGACGGGCACAGCTCTTGCAGAAGGAGGCGACCTTCAGGACTCAAGAGCTTTTTCATATTGGCCAAGCTTTCCTGGACATTCTTCGTTTCGTAAAGAACATTGGAAGCGATGATGAGATCGAAGCCGACTTCCTCGAATCCTTGGTCAAAAGGATCACGGCTGATGTCCAAACTGGCAAACTTCATGTTGGGGAATAGCTTCTCTTGGGTTTCAGAGACGACGTATCCAGGGGTGGTCAACGTGTAGTTGGAGCAGAGGACTTCTCCATTTGCGTGGGTCAACTCAGCGATGATATCGCGATGAGAGGAAATGCCCTTTCCGGTTCCAACTTCCAGAATACGGAGGTTGGGCTTGGAGTGGCCCAACGCCCGGATGAACTCACGCCGGTCGAGCTGTCCCAAGAACCCATAGACTTGGGCGACTTCACCTTCTTGCAGAACACTCTCCAAAGTTTCACCAGCGAGGAGATCATCAATTTTATTGAATATCTGGTGGATGGCATTGGCGACTGGGGCGGCAGAAGTATCAGCAAGCTGGGCCTTGATACCTTCAATCCGGGCTGAAATAGCCTGAGTGTCAGGACCTGTCCAGGTTGATGGCAGTTTGGTCACTGTCGATGTTGATTGAGCTTTAATCCAAGCAATGTACTTTTGCAGATGGGGCAAAATCGAATCACTCGCGCTTTCAGTGAAATGACGCTGGGACAGCAATAAGCAGATTTCTCCGAGCTCTTCAAGGAGGCGAAGGTGCTCTGTATGCCCTGATTGGATATGAAAAAGATCATTCACATCCAAGAAGTCGATGTCAGGCCTCCATTCGCATCGTGAGGCAGCATGGTCGTCATTCGAATTGGCTGAGCCGGCGCCATCAGCAAGAGACATGCGGATTCCGGTGGCTTCGACAACAATCTTGCCCTCGGCTATGCAGCGGCTATCCCCAACCACGGAGAAGTTGCTTGAGAGCTTAGCGGATGAGCTGATTACCATGTCCGAGGAGAATCGATGAATGGTCACTTTGTCGATGCTAGTCGGGAGCCAGGTCTTGGTCTTGCGAGCGTAGCCGTTGACGGCGGCCGCGCCCAGAATCTGAAGTATGCCGTCAAGCGCGGTGGGGTGAATAAAATAGTTGGCCTCGTCGCCTTGTTTTCCGTTGGCGATGTTTCCAAAAGCCTGCTGTTCAGAAGTTGAAGTGGCAATAGTCTCCAAGGTCTGGAAAGACTGCCCAAGGTTCAATCCACCCTTAATCATCTTCTCATACCACTTTCTGACATTAAGCTTTCGAGGCAAGGACTCGGGCTCTGGAGCATCCTCAGGAGTGGATGACAGGGCAGACACCTCTCCGGAGCAGTGCTTGGTCCAGTTCCGCCCGTTGTAGGCTGAGATGGAGAACTCCCACCATGGGCTGTTTAAGGAGTTCGTCAGACGATGCGGTCGGAAGTTAGCCATAATCTCCGTCGGATTCCCTTCGCTGAGCACTAGAGCTGTGCTGACGATGATGTTGCGGATATTGAACCCCTCATCCACATTGGTCAACTGTCTGATGGCCTCGCCTGCAAGAGCAATATAACCACAGAATGGGAAGACGATGTTTTCTCCCACCTTGTGATCACGAAGCCACGGCGCGTTTGTAATGTGGAGAAGGTTCCGCCAGGCAGGCTCAGTGTCACTGCTCTCAGCCACCCTCGCACCGAGAAGGTCATGGTGAGGAGCTTTGCGGTTGCGCCATTCTTTGCTGAGGCGAGATTCATACCAATAGCTGCCTTCATGATTCCAAGGGTAGCGGGGGAGGTCCGGCAAACAGGCACCGGTTGGGAAGAGGGCCTCAAGATCAATGTCGACGTTGAGTGAGTGAAGTCCTCCGATACCAGACAGGAAAGAGGCGGTGCAGTCCTGATTACGCACCATGGTGGAGACATAGGGAGCAGGAAAGCCAGCTTGAGAAAAGATTTGTCTCAATGGTCCCGCGAGAGCTCCGTGGGGTCCAACCTCAAGGAAGATAGCGTTTTCTCCAACCTCATGCTCCAGAATGGCAGTGACAGCCTCGCGAAATCGAACAGGTGATTCCAAATTGTCCTGCCAGTACTTGGATCCGATATTGTCCTCGGCACCCAAGATATTTCCAGTCACACTGGAAAAGAAGAGCTTTGATGGTGCTCTTCCAACAACTTCCTCGCCAATCAAGGCTTGGTAGTCACTTCCAATCTCCTTCATGTGGTATGAGTGGTAAGCTTTGTCAACCTGGAGCTGCCTGGCGAGAATTTGAGGCTGCTTCTCCTTGATACTAGCGATGACAGATTTTACAGCATCAACATCACCCGAGATAGTAACGCTCTTGGGGGAGTTATCGCAAGCAATGGAGACATTTGGGACAAGATACTGCTCAGTCCCACTCCAACCCATTCCGATTGCAGCCATTGCTCCTGGCTTTTCCTGCTTGGTAGTGACGGCTCCACGGTGGTGAGCAGCAGTGATGGCCTCCTTCGCAGTGAGAGCGCCGGAAGCATATGCTGCAGCAATTTCGCCACTGGAATGACCCACGACGGCGGTGGGGATAACTCCAGTGGCTGCGAGGGTATCGACTAAAGCAATCTGGATAGCAGTGCACAATGGCTGAGAGAATTCGGCCATGGTGATACGGCTCTTCTTAGCTGGCTTCTTGAGTTCCGCTTCAATCGTGTATTGAGGTTTCTCACCGGCAATGGTCTGCAGGTGTGCATCGAGGGCTCGGATGCTTGCTTTGAAAGTCTTGTTCGATCGCAGCAGTTCACGTCCCATCTGGGGGCCACTGGGCGCCCTGGCCAGTGAAGATCATTACAACGTTGGGTGATTTGGTAGACTTGGAGTTTACGGGCTGAGACACGGTCTCGATCACCCCGTTGGTGACAATGGCATAGGCTCGGTGCGGCAAATGCTCCCGTCTCCTTGCCAGAGTGTAGGCCAAATCGCCGACCTTGTCGGGATTCTTCTCAATCCACTCCTTATAATTGTCAACTAGTCTCGTGATGGACTTGGCCGAATTGGCTGTGAAGAGCAGGAGCTGGGGTTCCTCTGGCGTTTCGTAAATCGCATCCGGAACATTGTACGTAGCCGCAGACTCGAGAACAACGTGGGCATTAGCACCACCAATGCCAAAGGAGTTGACGCTAACACGTTCCAGCTTGCTTTTAGGCCAAGAGATGGGCTCAGTTGGAACCGTGAGCTTAGCCTCTTCGAATGGAATGCTAGGGTTTGGAGTGGTGAATTTGATGTTCGGTGGAATGGTGCGATGTTCGAGTGCTTTGACCATCTTCAAAAGGGACACAAGACCGGAAGCTGCCTCTGTGTGGCCGAGATTAGGTTTGACTGATCCGATGTAAACGCCCTTCTCTCCGAAGACGCGGGCCACAGCCTGTGTCTCAATTGGGTCTCCAGTCGGGGTTCCGGTTCCGTGACATTCAACCATGGCGGTCTCGCCAAAATCAGTGATGCCACCCAGTTCGTACGCTCTCCGCATCAAAGCTTCTTGCGCTTGTGTGCTGGGCTGTGATAGCGTTGGGGTTTTTCCATCCACGTTATGGGATGTGGATCTCACGACAGCTCGAACGGGGTTGCCATCCCTAATGGCATCTGCGAGCGGCTTGACGTAGACTGCGGTAGCCGCCTCTCCGCGGGCGTACCCATTGGCGTCGGCAGAGAATGTCTTGCAAGAGCCATCACTCGACAAAACGCCTTGTTCTTGCATGGCCATGGACATTCCTGGTGCAAGAATCAGGTTCACACCACCGACCAAGGCTGACCCACAGTCACCTCGGCTGATAGCAGCACATGCCTCATTTAAAGCAACCAGGGCAGAAGAGCAAGCTGTGCGGATCGTCATACTGTTCGAAATGTCAGTAAATCGCGGTTTTAGCTCTGGTGGATGAACGTACCTTGGCCCTTGTAAATCAAATTCATAGGAAAGCCGGTTGGCGACAACGAAATCGCCAGCACCGGAAATACGATGGATACCCCATGGCTGACTCTCCTTTCCAAGCATCTCCAGCCAGTCTTCTCCAAAGTTACCGATATAAGTACCGATAGTCTTGCCTCTCCAGTTCGTCACACCGGCGTCTTCAAATGCCTCACGTGCGACTTCCAGCATGAGCCGCTGCTGAGGGTCAGCTCGCTCTACCTCTGATCGTGTCATCGTGAAGAAGGACATGTCCAAGGCGCCAAGGTCGACGTCCTCATCGAGGAAGTATCCATACTCCGTCGATACAGTTCCAGGCTTCTTTGTGTCCGAGTAATATGAGTCGATGTTGTACCGTGATTCAGGGACACGGCATCGACCGTCTTTCTTTGTAAGGAGGAAATCCCAGAGTTCCTCGGGTGTAGTCAAGCCTCCTGGGAGACGACAGGCCATACCGCAGATGGCGATAGGGATTTGGCCATTAGTATGTGTTTCAGTGCCCGAAACACCATTTGTACCGTTGACGTTGGCAGATACTCCGTTTGTAGACACACGATCAACGGGCACATCGGCGACATCGTCGTTGGAATGCCCGTTGGTGAACCCATTTGTCGAAGCCACGGGCACTCCGTGGCCTTCGAATGCGTTGTTGTTGATAGTCATGACGAGCCGTTTTCGTGTATGTAGGTCGAAAATGTAAATGACCTGCCTCGTGGCAGTGGGATCTGCACTTGACTTTGAAGTAAATCATGGCAGGCCCAACAACGTGCATATGTTCTTGAAGAGTGAGGCTCCTCGGGATCGGCTCGGCAGGCAGCCGTCGCCCCGGCTTACCAACGCCGAGCGGAACCCGTCGAGAGCCCGCGTTGGCAACCCGCCGTCTCTCGGGCCGGAGCGCCGATGGGGGCCACAATCGATGTGTTGACACTTCTCAATTTGGCCATAAATGGGATTGAGATGGGATGGAAAATGAAGAAACTCATATTTGTCGAACTACAAAGGGGTTCTGATTTCGTTCCCTCGGTCGCATCATAGTCCAAGAATTCACCTACCTCGTTATGGCAGCCACTGACAAAATTGTCTCGGAGATGGCCTCCTGGATGAAGAGCCAGAAGCTAGTGGCTCCCCAGATGAAGGATGCTCCTGTATTCTACAGGAACCTTGAGGAGGCTCTGGATGTTCGACGATCCACCCAGTCCATGCTCACCCGTGGACAAAACACTTGGAAGGATGGCGGCGCCATCGACTTGTGCTCCAACGACCTTCTGTCCCTGGGGCGCACGGGAGAATTGCGAGCCGAGTTCCTCTCCGAGTTGGCCAAATACCCCGACTTTGCGCTGCACTCGGGTGGATCGCGTGTTATGGGCGGCAACTACGACTACATCGAAGAAGTGGAGCAGGAGATAGCCGATTTCCTCGGTGCAGAGACCGCTCTCATGTTCAACTCGGGATCAAATGGAAATGTTGCCATCTACACTTCCATTCCTCGCCCCGGAGATGCCATTGTTTATGATGAGCTGGTTCACTTCAGCACACACACCGGTATGGCCTCGTCGTTGGCTACGACTAAAGTTTCTTTCCGTCACAACGACCTCGATGCCTTCCGTGAGGCTATGATTTCCACTATGGACTCTCAGCCCATGATACAGGATGGTTCACGCTCTATTCTTGTTTCCATCGAGTCGGTGTACAGCATGGATGGCGATGTTTGTCCTCTTGTGGAGATGCTCGAGATTGCTAGGGAGATTTGCCCTAAGAAAAACTTCGCCTTCATTGCGGATGAGGCTCACGCAACTGGGATTGTTGGTCCCAAGGGTGTTGGTCTTGTTAAGCACCTTGGTCTTGAAAAGGACATTGCTATTCGTCTCAACACATGTGGAAAGGCTCTGGCTTGCACTGGATGTGAGAACAACCCCTTCACGTAACTTCATGCTGGGCGACATAACTGACAATTTCAAAAGCGGTGGTTCTTGGAAGCGCCACTGTCCGAAACACGATGCTGAATTTTGCTGGTTCTCTGGTTAACACCACAGCTCCCTCCTTCCCTTCAGTTGCTGTTGTTCGATCGGCTTATAACTTGATGCGAACTGGTGCCACCCAGAAGGTATGCAATCGATTATTGACTCGAACCTTTGCATATCATACTCACCGATCTTCTAGGCCCAAGATAACGTACAGCATCTGGTAAGATACTTCTTCAAGAGCATGAACTCCCACCCACTTTGGGATGAAGCGACCGATATGGGTCTTCTTTCCATTCCCATCATCGATGAATCAGAGGAGAACGATTTCGTGACGCACATCATTCCAATCTGGACCCGGCAAAAGTACAACTGGTGGCTATTCTTTCACCTACAACTGGCCAAGATCGCCGTTGTTCCCATCGACTATCCCCAGGTTCCCAAGGGTAAGGCTCGCCTGAGAGTCATGATCCACGCTACAAATACTGAAACAGAGGTCGATTACCTGTGTTCTACTATTTACAATTTCGTCAAGGAGATGATGGATATCGAGGAGAGTGGGGAGAAGGGAAAGATTCCCAAGGCTGCGCAGCAGATTTACGCGTTGATGGCCGCAAATGCGTAAATCATGGCTATGTTACGAAAGCTCCTGTAAGAAATTCTAGAGGGCAAGAAAGTATAACCACCTGTAGATATTCAATTCAGTTCAATTCAATTCAAGATTCTATTAACCTAATGCAGCCTGGCTAGTGAGCGCCGTGGCTATGTAGGCGTTTCCTCCATCGGGAACCAGAACCATCCTAACGCCACGCCCACAGTAACAAAAGACAAAGGAGATACGGCGTATTACCATAGAAAAACAAGTAAGAACTCCTACAATATTGGACAGAATGGGAGGCCACAAATAGTGCAAATTGTCCGACTTAGACCATTATTTGCGACGTGTACAGTCGGGGTCATGCACGCGGAGGCTCATTACCGACAGCCCCAACGGCCAGCTCTGTCTTTCAATGTCAATCACTTCCAGGTTCCGACTAAAATCCCGGCGTATTCCTTTCCGCCGTTTGTCTTGCAGACGCGGGCATAGAATGTGGACTTGACGCTTCTGGTCCTCCAGCATCGCCTGCAATGCCGTGTCAAGAGAGTGGTCACCACACTGGGTCTCTAGTGCATGGCCGATTGCAGTTCTGGGTCTTTATCGGCAGAGGTCAGGTTGCTGTTTTACGAGTGTAGCGCCTTTGGTCAGGAGAAAGTTTTTAATTCTCCTTACTAAAGTGTATCCCTAACAGGGGCTGATCCAGCCTATAGGGCTCATAATCAAGACAAATCTTCTAATTCCCCAAATCCTTACCAGCCGTTTCCATAATCAACACTGGGTGCTTTCCTTTGACCTTGACTATCTCTCCGGCGTTTGCAAGGTCAATAGTCCACAGTTATGGGAATCATGGGTATGATATATATTAAGGAGAAGGTTATTCAGAAGAACCATATCAGCTATGAATGCTGTATTAACTAATGGCTATGAATCATAACGCCAACAGTATCTATTAAGCTATGCACAGATTCACATGTTTCCACCATCACCTAGAGTAGCTCTGAGTTTCCATGGTGGAAATGTAAAAAGAATAACAAGGAACAATAAAATAAATAAACTCGAAATAGGAAACCCGATAATGCACGTACTAGCCCAGAAAAATGATTTGTATATGGTAACATATTAGTGTACGACAGGAAAGGAACTCTGTCACGCATCGCCCCTATCATGCTCCACGTCGTCTGCGACCACCTCATCAGAAAACCTGGCTTATGTGTTGAAGGAATGACCGTCTTCCTGATCACATGAACCATATAGGCTGATTATACGAGTTCATAGCAAGATATTACTTTACATCACAATATTCGATCTAGAGGGCACTCGCTCCGACTGGCTCTGGCAGTGCTACTGTCTCTTTTTCTACTTACAGACCTGGAGTTCGATTCTACTAATAGAACTTGAAGACAATTCAAGCTGTCGGGGGTGACTGGGGCGAAGGGGCTCGCTTTTTTCGAGTGGACATACGCTGTAACAATAGATTCTCGGCCCCTTTGCCATTACTCTGTAGATCGACAAGTTGCAGTAACCCCCTTGGCAGCAATGAATCTGTGATCCACTCACGCCCCACGCCCCCATTAACGCCATTGCTGTAAAATATAAATACAGAACCAAGATATACAGTGCCCAAATAATTGATAGTGTTGACTATTACAAGACGTTATAACAAACTAGTGCTTGATCAGGGTAGCATAAATTATGGATCGCAGATTCATACTGCCAAAGGGTTGGAACAATTGAAACCACCAAACATAAACATATATTATTAGTAGATGCTGGATAAGACCCATAAGTAATGTACATCATAATAGAAGATCAATTCGCCATGGCTTCCCAATATGTGCTGATAAGGACTGGTCTATGAAGGAACGCACTAGACTTGCCCGTCTCAACTTGAAACCAAAAAAATTTGCTAGTGGACAGCTTCATATCGAGTGAAGAAATATCGTAAATGGGTCGATATCTGCCAATTTAACAAGTGCTTCTGTTCATTCTCTACCCCTCTGAAATTTGTGCGCTCGAAATTTACGGGGAGTTCAAGAATGCTAGTTTACTCGGTTGCGGTACAGATGAGATGAATTTCTATACATGACTCCTTTTAATATCCAACTAAATCTCCGACGCAAAGATGATAATATTCTTTACAGTAAACTGTCTTCACCAAATGATATGCCTGAGCTTTATTCTATGGTTATACGAAATTGATCTATTTTGGCGTGAAAACTTACAAGATACATAACGATTACTACTAACTGGCCCTGGCACACTTGCATAGTCAGTAATTGAAATTTGAGAGAATCGGAAAGACAGGGAATCGAAGATGCGACTGTGGCTTAGACAAATAGGAGAAAACATGTGTAACCGAACCTATTGCTAGGACTATTTTGGCTGTCGCCGGGTTTAGCTTCAACGAGTCGTCCGAGCCCATCATAACTAACTACTGAGGCCTTTTGAATTCATTTAACAAATCTAGAATCCGTTGAAAGCGTACAGGCGACCCGACCGTGGAGTAAGCATAGTGAGATGCTGTTAAACCTTGGCTATCGCCGATATATTGGTCCACTCCATGTTCCAATAGCCAGCGTATCTCATCTAGCGTACCAAGCCTGGCTGCAACCGCAAGAGCAGTTCCACCCCGCAGTGGCACGGGAGAAAGATGCCCGAAACGATTTATGTCAGCTCCATGGCTTAGGATGCGCTCTGCAAAGGCAATTCGATCATCGGAATTTCTCATCATAGCTCGGTGTAGCGCAAGGCTGTTCTCTAGCTTAGCACCATGTTCAAGCAAAAGCTCAAAAATTTCTATGTCGCACTCCCAAGCAGCCATCTCTAATGCAGCCCCTGAGTCTTTTTCGGGCTGCGAATATGGTTGGATTGCACCCTCTTCGCGTAATAAACGACTTTCGTTTGGGCCATAATTCGGATCCGCACCAAGCGAGAGGAACCAAGTTAAGAGTTCAGGATCATTACAACTCACAACGTGCCTAGCATAAAACCAAAAGTTTAGTTTCGTAATGATTTCAACGATAAAAACAATACGTAGACTCACAAGAGCGGCACCTTCGCCTCTGGCATAGGGTTATTCACATCTAAGCCATGGTTTAATAGGAATTCCCAAGAACCTCTTGATTTGGCTGCTTCCACCGTATGATATCTTATCAACGCCCCTTCTGAATGCAAATATTCCATCACGAGAATATTCTCATTCTTCACGGCTTCCTCAAGGCCACGAACCAACCACCATGTTTTCCGTTGTTGCTGACGTGGATTTTGCTCAATGCCAGAGGACACCCATTCTTGGCCACGTTGAGTTTGTTGAGCAAGGAGCTGTTGGACTTGAGCAACATCCCCCTGCCGGCAAACTTCTAAATACTCTTGATAAGATTCATAGGCGCGGTCACTGGCTCCCTCAAATCTTTGGAGCTTGGGACTTAATTGATCCAACATACCAAGGAGGAATAGGGAGAGAAAGAGAAGAGGTAGAAAAAAAAAAGAGTGGGGATAGAAAGTGTAGCGAAAAAAACCTCCCTTTTGGTCTTCGAATGGGCAGGTGGCAAGGTTGATATGACGTAACCCCAAAAAGACGGAGAAATTTGGAGTTTGCAGTCCCTTCAAGCTCACGCGGCGTGAGCTTCAAGTTCCAGGGCTTCGCTAATGGGCCGCGTGGGGGGACGCAGGGACCATTGAGGGGCCAGATGGGGCTGGGGCTGGGGCGACAATGATCTGCAGGGTCAAAGCAACCCTAATTGGTTTAGATTGAGGTCTCAAGAATGATCAAGAGTTTACAAGGCTCCGCCAAGGATTTTTCTCTAAATCCAACACACTTTGCTTTGATCGATTCTGCATCGATTGTAGAATATGCTGAATTGATGAAAACGATATAGTTTGACCTCAAACAGCGATACAGAGCAACTGTTGATAATCTATTCATTCTGCAGTGGAGACTATTATCACAAGATGGGATATCATGAGCAAGGACCACAAACATTCGTCAGGACATTCTGAACATGCCGTGAGTAGCTCGGCTCAACAGCCTATACCCGAAGTTATTTTTTCTTTGCTCCATGTTGTCTGTCGCTACACACGGCCCTCGTCTATCTCATGCAGGGGCCGTGAGCCGCGTGGGCGAGCGGCCCCGGGCAGCAAGCGATTGACCTTTCACTTTCCTCTTGACCTACGAGTAAATCCGATTTTTTCACTTCATGCAGGATATTCATGAGATTAGCACCGGGCTCGTTCCTGCAGGATCAGCCTGACCTATCGAGGTGAACCCTAGAGACTTACACGGAAGACTAACAGCGCTGATCCCTCGAGATAAAGCCCCATTCAGGACTACAAGAGGCATAGGTTCGAGTAGGCTCAGACAGAATCATCCAATCTATACTAGATTTATCTATATTACTTATATATCTATTTAGATTTAAATATATAATAATACTAATATAAGTATAGCCTTACTCTAGTACTTAGTCCTTAGAGAAAAGATTAGTAGTTAATCCTACGTTACTATCCTCTTTAGGTAACTTTATAACTATAGTTAACTATTAAATAGTAATAGTCTCTTTAGTCTTAATTTAATTCTAGACTAGACTTAAGATCTCTTTAGCTAAGAAGATCTTTTTAATATCTAGAGTTCTAGATAAGCTATTAGTAGGGTTTATCTTACTAGATTAATAATAGATAATAAAGTTAAATAATATAAGATAAATATACTATTAAGCTTATCTTCTGTTAATTCTTTTCTATTCTATAAAGATTTATAGGTTATTATAATCTAAAAGAACCTTAACTTAGAACTAGAAATCTTTAAGATATTATTACTATTATTTAAATAACTATATAATTATAAAGAGTTCTTAGTCTAGAACTCTCTAGTTTGTTCTATAGAAGAGAACTTTTTAGACTAGAATATAACTAGTGTAAGATGGGAATGCTCGCTGGCAGTCTGTCAAGCAGACGGGTCGATCGCGAAGAGACAAAACCACCACACTCGCAGAGTGCAGGAACGAGATGAGCAAAGCGTGACGCTATAGAGAGATGATTGAACGAGCAATAACAGAACCTTTCATACGCAGTATATCGATACCGCAACCTCAGCAGCCTCAGTAGAACATTTTCATAAAGGGGAACATGCATGTTGTTTTTGATAGTATCGAACGAACGCTACTTAATCTCACGAAACAAAACGGTGGCCTTGTTGCTAAGGCCTCCAGCACATGACTACAGGATACCGATGTTGAGAGCGGGAATCCCCATTACATACCACCCTCCCTGAAAATTTGACTGTCCCCTAGTCAAAACAAAGAAAACAAAGAAAACAAAGAAAAGAACGTCAACATTTCGTTAGACAACGCTTCCGACAGTCATGTCATGCTTCATCCATTAATAGGCACCTAGCCGCTATGAGGAAGGCCAACCTCCGCTTCGGGGGTAGGTTGCTGCATGTTCGACAGCGTTTGAAGTTCAGCATCGACGGAAGTGGGACCATCAGGCAAGAGACCTAGTTCAGGATCGTCCACGAGCATGCCTTTTTCAATGCGGGAGAAGAAGGAGTGCTTGCCATATTCCTTCTTTTCCAAGCGCTTGGTGAGTTCGAAGCAACGCAGGTATTCATACCAGGCTTCCTCTTGCCAGTCACGAACTATTCTTTTTGCAACTTCCGGATCCTTGCCAAAAAGGTCGTCCAATTCCATACAAACCGAGGGGCTGTCCCATCTCTGTCGTCCTACCAGGCAGTTCGGAATATCGTGTCGTGCTGTTCGAAATTGAACTCCGGCCGCGAAAGGAAATGGAATAGTGCCATACCGCGATGAAGGATAGCCAGATGGTGTCTTAGTAGCCGGCATTTGTGCGCGGTGCGCCTCGGCAAGCTCCTCCCATGTATTGGCTTCGGCACAGTCGAGAGTTTCGTGGTCGTCCTGAATGGCAGTATACCACGCAAGTCCTGTTCTGCGTACTGCGGTAGCCGGTCCTGTCGATCCATGAGGCAGGAATGGGAGAGAAAGACGTACGTCACCGATACCACAAACCTCTTGGGTCCATTGGATGCCGTACTTCTCCTCGTCATCTCTCGTCCACATATGGGGTTCAATGCCAGAAATGAGGCCATCGGGAACGGGCCCGCGGGACTGAATGTTCTTCCACCAATCAGCTAACCGCTCTGTCTTATGCATCCCTTTCAATATCGTGGTACAATTCCGTTTATCTTCCTGGGTGAAGGATACAGATCCTTGCAAGATACTGCCGCCCCGTCCTGTGTCGAGATAATCTTGGATGTTGATATCCAAGTGCCGAAACTTAGTATTTTCACCAATCTGAGTGCTCTTGGTGTAATAGGGGTAGGAAATCAGGCGCCATGCATGATCGGGTCGGAAAAAGACGTATGACATGTAGTAGGAGAGGTCTTGCCGAATTAGTTGCTGGATGTTTGAATACCACATCCCACGAAGCCATCCAATCTCTGTTGTCGACTTGCTCAGGTGGTAATGGTACATTCGGAACTCCTGGTGAATCAACGGCCATAGTCCCTCAGGATGTTCTCCGTCGAGGTCTTCTCCGAGCCATGAAAAGAGACCTGGCAGTATAGTGCTGCCATCATTATGCATATCCTTTGCCGGGCGAATATCAGGGGCCTTTCCAGCGTAGATCCGGTCAATCAGGGTATCAACCGACAGCCATTCTGTAGCAGCGGCGAAGTCAGAAACAAGAGGGGCGTAGTGCTGCGGCTTGAAACGATGGAAACCGAGATCGTTTTCCTGCCGGAAACTAAACCATCGAGGATGGTCCTTCATAAATCGGTCCCAGTTCCCAATGTGTCGATATGATAGGGCAACCCGGTTCACCAATTGCTGGTGATTCTTGGACGCACTAGTCATTTGTATAGCTTCCACTAGTGCCTTTGCGTGCTTACTGCAAAGAGTATTGACAGTGATATCTCCGGACCTCGCTAATCTTCTTCCAATGGCTCGCAATGCGACCAGTCCATTTTTCCGCTTCGAGAAATCTTTTTCTTTGAGGGCTCGTATCAGGGTAGCAGGGCGCAGTAAACATCCACACTTCGCATGTGCATCCGCGAGGGCAACTGTTTCTTCGTCGCTTTCTTCGACAACGGCATTGTTCAATACTTCCTGCTGTGTCGGCGGGGCATCCTGCATTTCCTCGTCGCGTTCCGAATCCTGGCTAGATTCCACGCTCTCTTCTTCCTCCATATCCTGGTCTTCCAATTCATCAGGGGGAGCAGCAGCAGCAGCAGCATCATCTTCCGGTAGGAAAACACTCTTCTCGGGAGACGGAGGCAGGGTATATGCTCTTGGTTCGATCCTTGGAAGATCAAATCCTTCGCCTTTTGGACAAACGAATCCATCCTGGTCTATCTGGAGACCCGCACGATCTAGGTGTTCTTGGAGAATCGGCGTCAGGATACGGCACTGGCAGGTCTTGAGCAGGTCACTGGGTTCCAGGTGCTTGGTTTTCTGGGCTCCACTTCCTTTTCCAAAGGTACATCTCTTGATGACATGGTTGTTGATAGATAGCTTGACATCCTCGTAGGACATATCTGTGTTCAGGAGCTTACTAACTTTCTCCGCAAACGCTCGATTCTTGACCCATTGGAAGAACTCGGTGGTATTCCTGCCTGCGGGGTCTTGGTTGTCCCATCTCACAAGCGCTCGCTGTCGAATGCCTTCGATTGTTCTCGCATCCTTTGCTCTTCGCTTTTGTAGCTGGACTGCTTTTTCCCATCGAAGCTGGAATTCCTCTTGGTCTTCATGATGACCCTTCCATAACTCTGCGGAGCTAACATAGTCAAACAGCCTGCAGATGCCGTCACCGAGCAAGTCATGTGCAGCATTCAATTTCCCATAGCAAAACAGTGCAATGTCATATTTTTCTGCAGCGTCACTCTCTTCCAGGGCCTCAAGCATTTGCTCAATCGTGTGGATCTTTTTGCCTTTGATAATCATGCCTGTAGGAATTGGTTCATCCATCCTGGCTCGTCGTATTACAGCACGGTTCACTGGAGTAAAGGTGTTTTGGCTTTCCGCCATCTCGAAATCAGACATCACGGCGTATCTTTATGCGGTTCGTGCAACAAAGGAGGTGATTCGAATAGGTCTCGGAGGTAACGGTGAAAGGAGAGGTTGGTAATCGGATCGGTCAAAGGAATCGTATCCGGCGAATGGCTTCGAAGCACAGGTAAGACGTATCAAAGACGTAGGTTTCGAGGCATATTAGAAGAGGAAATAGTAAGCGGGGTCTGAAAGAAACAAAGAATCGCAGGTTTCAAAGAGCTTCGGGAACAAAGAACCAGGTCCTTTCCCCTCCTCCCGACTCGACCGTCCCTGGTCGAGTCACGCAGTGCCGAATAGTTGCAAAGCTGCAGCGAGTCCTCCGTGGTTCGTAAATGGTTCGGTGGTATCGGGCGAGCATCAAAACGCGTTCGAAAACGA